TGTCACACCGCCACCACCCCCTGTTGCCCTGCCGCGACTCCCGCCGTGATTCACGCCAGCAGGACCGTTTCCAGCGGCCCGATTTCCGTCCATGCCGCTTCCGCCGAGAGCGACATCCGTGCGGGGGTTTTGAGGGCGGCTCGCCGCACGTACCAAAGAGCCCGAGGATCGCTGCTCGTGGTGGATCTGGAGGCTCTGAGCCCCGCCCTGGCGGCTGTTAGCAGGACGAGTGCTAACACCAGCGCCGAAAACAAACGGCTCGCCGGTAAACCGGGTTCTTGCTGTCGCGGTTCCTTGCGAAGCGGCGTGTGGCGTATTCATAATCTTGGATGCGGCGGCTTTCCATGTCACTGCGTCGTCTTTGTTTTCCGCGACGAGTGGGACTGGCGAGCCAGTATTAGTCAGAGCGCGGCGGGAAGTGGGGAAGTGAGCAGAGCAGCTGTTCGCGAGAAGGAACAAGAGAAGCGGAGCGACGAACAGATGTTGAGTCACCATTCTCGCCGTGCAACCCGATGATGATTTCATCAGCGAGGTTGTGATGTTTTTTAATCAATGAGTCCTATTTGTGCTATCATGTGCGGGAGAGGGTGTTGGTGTCGGAAAGACTGGGGGACCTGCTTACTGAAGTTGGCAAGATGCTAACTTCGATGTTGGTGAAGGGGAATCAACGAGTGGCTCTTGTATTCAGGAATGCGGCTCGGTTGTTGAGAATGCGAGCCGAGCCGCAGTCCGATTTCTGACTTTCGAGTGGCGTGAGGCACACTGGAAAGCAGGGTCCGAAATATGTGCCAGAAAATCCTTCGAAACCTCGAGTATGCCAAAACTTTTTTCACCTCCACATGCTAGTAGGCTGAACATACTGCGGGCTAGACTGGTTGAGACAGAAGTTTCTGGCTAATCAGCTTGAGCCCCGGCAGAGCTCTCGCCCTAGAAAAACCTAACCAAACAGAGTAATTGCCTTAACCAGTTATTGGAGTTGTACAGTTTCGAAGTCTTCCCAAGTCAACTGGTCTGAAACATTCGTGTACATTTTCTGTTGTGATAATGAGATAGTGGCAAACTTGTGCAATGAATATGGCTGAAAGCGCAATGAATAAGAAGTTTTGATTTTGCTACCCTCTACCCTCATATTGGTTTTGGGAAAGTCTGGAAATTTTTACTTGGCATGCAAATTCATGCTGAAACAAGAGAAGAAAATGAATAAACCATCGTAGACTACAACTGTCATCGTTTTCCTTGTCTATTCAAAATTATATTTGGACCACGTGTGCAAAATTGTTCACATTTTTGTTCTGCAAAAGTAAACCTTACAATGAGCATAGTTTCCATTCATTTATATGCATTACATGAGAAGTCAGAGGTGCATGCCTTCCAGCAGCTGCTCAAACTCCTCCCAGCGCATGCCCTGCTGAATATACTCCATGCGAGCAGGGTTGAATGGGCCCCTCACGCGGTCCACTGAGCTGATCGCAGCAGAGGCAGGCAGCACCGGGTCTGAGGGGTCTGAGGGCGTGGGCAGGACCAGCGACGAGGAGAAACCCTGAGGGAGGGCAAGGGGTTGTGGGCGAGGGGGGCAGAGAGAGGGGGAAGAGACTAGGGGGGGTGGAGGGAGGGAGCGAATGGTGGGGTTGTGCTCAGCTGTGGGTCTGAGGGGCCAGATGGCGTGGGCAGCAGCACCAGACAGGAGGAGAGGTCTTGGGGGAGCTGAAATGAGAGCTGCAGTGGGTTGATGGTTAGAGTAAGAGCGGATGGGGCAGTGTGGCAGGGTTGGTAAGCGCGAGAGGCGAGTGAATGCGGCACAGGGTGAGCAGAGAGGAGGGTGGTAAGTGTTGAAATGAGGTTTTCGTAAGCCATGGCTTGCGAGAAAAAGTTGCATTCGATAGTACTGAGTACAATGTCATAGAGTTGGTTGGGAAACCCCAACTGAAACTAGGGTGCGCTCAGTCTATGAACAAACTCCTGAACCTGAAATGAAACTAGTCTAAAACTGGCCGAAAAAAAATGTAAGGCCAGAATTAAGTACATAGCGAAGACTAGCCTACTCCAACAGTAGGTGCGAGAGGCGAGTGAATGGGGCACAGGATGAGCAGAGAGGAGGGTGGTACGTGCGAGAGAGGAGGGTGGTACGTGCGAGAGAGGAGGGTGGTACGTGCGTGAGACGAGTGAATGGGGCACAGGATGAGCAGAGAGGAGGAATGGGAGTGGCGGCTGGGTGTTGGGAATCCTGAGCGAATGGAATTGGGAAATTTGCAGATTCGAAGCAAATCCGGGATTGGGAATGCGACAAACGCTCTGTTGCCAACAAATATAAAGCTAACTGCCCGCTTGTTGCCTCAAGTGCTGATGAGTGGCAGCGGTGTAGTGCTGATGAGTGGTGTAGTGCTGATGAGTGGCAGCGGTGTAGTGCTGATGAGTGGCAGCGGTGTAGTGCTGATGAGTGGCAGCGGTGTAGTGCTGATGAGTGGTAAGCAGGGGCGTGAGTCACCCTGACGACAACGACCTGGTCCATTCCCCCGTGCACCTGTGCTTTGAGCACCCGTCAGTGGTAAGCGCATAGTAGTGCTGGTGCTGTCACCCTGCCTGAAGGTAAGCAGTGTGTGGTAAGCGTATAGTGCTGGTGGTATCAAGCTGAGGGTAAGCAGTGAGTGGTAAGCACATAGTGCTGGTGTCACTCCTCGTCGTCCCCTTTTAGAAGGGCGTCACCCTGAAGACGACCACCTCGTCTTCCTCCCCATCCACCAGTGCGGTGAGCACCTGGGAGTGGTAACTGCATAGTGCTGGTGGTGTCACCCTGCGGGTAAGTGGTGAGTGGCAAGTGTGGGTGTCACTCACCCTGAAGACGACCACCTCGTCTTCCTCCCCATCCACCAGTGCGGTGAGCACCACCACCTCCGCCGGCACCTGCCGCAGTGATGCATGCGATGACATGCCAACACATATCAGGATTCATATTGAGACACACACTTGATCATCCACCTGTGCGCGCAGTGATGCATGCGATGCATGCGTGCATGTGATGCATGCGTGAACGTGACGCATGTTATATATGTGTGCATGCAATGTATGTGTGCAGGTGATCTATGTATGCGTGCATGCGATGCGTGTGATGCATGTGTGCAGATGCAGACATGCCAACACGCATTCGGATTCCCATTAAAACACACACTTGAACATCCACCTCCATGTCGAGCAGCACAACCTCCCCCTTCTCCTGGCACAGTGATGCATGTGTGCATGCATATATTCAGACACACGCCCACACACATCCGAGCTCACATTCACACACGCCGACACACATTGGGATTCACATTCACACACGCTCAGACACACAGTGATCCATGCACGCTCGCACATGAACACACATACACATGACACGAGAACAGCACGAGTACGGCTCTGATAAGCATGGTGTCCGCATAGAAATGCTCACAGAATCTGTACGGCTCACAGCATCTTACGGCTCACAGCATCTTACGGCTCACAAATAGCTCAACCATCTGCACCCAGCAGCACCGTTCCCATACCCTCTAAAATCGTAATGCCTCCACTACCAGGCTGTCACAGGTCCTCTCCGCAATGCTTTAGGCCCCCAGTCCACAGGTACTAAGTCTACTCGGTAACGCTATGGTGTGCTTTCCTAAACGCGTTCGCAACGCTTTCCACGAGTCTACCCTGCCGTTACTAGCGTTCCCCTGGACCTGCTTAGTCTACCCGTCACCTACTCTCTCGGTGTACTGCTCCACGCGTCTTATATCGAATCCGCGCGACTCGCTACTGGTCGGCGCGACGCCGCCGCCGTCGCCATCATGTGTCGCACGGAGCACCGTCGCCGACAATCCCCATCGCGTTCCGGGGTTCGCGGATGGTGCGTCGACTCTCGCAGCGCAAGAACGAATAGGTACAGCGGCCGTTCGCTGCGCGCGCGATTCGACGGGAAGGAAATTCGTAGCGCGTGATCCGGGGAGGACTGGGGTGCTGGTGGGGGCTGCGCATGCGAGGGGGGAAGCGGGTGCATTGCGAGGCTGATGACGGGCGCGGGGCGCGAGGAAGGCGGTGGGGGCGGGATGTAATTGAGCAGCAGACATCTTGCGACGAAAAAAATAACCTTTTTCCCCAGGAGAACGTGGAGTCTGCTGGTGGTGTATGTGGAAGAATGATGTGGTGAGGGCAAGTGGCAGTCTTATGAATGAACTAAGCCAGTGCGCGAAATTAGTGGGAAAACAGTTTAGGGTTCGTCGGCGACAGTGATAGTGAATTTCCTAGGGAGTAAGGACGTGGTGCAGATCGGGGCAATATGAGGCTGATTGCCTCGATCTACGCAACCCGCAATTTCCGAGAAGCCCTGGGACTTTTTGGGGCAATCGGGGGCAATCTCTCGTTCGCTACGTATCGCTAGCGAGAATCACCACTTTCCCTGTTGGCGAAGTGCCGCGAGCGCTGACGATTTGAGAGAAGCATCAGATTTCGCACCAGTCCCAGACTAGTTATTTTCGCTGCCTGATCATTCTTCACAAACTGACAACAGCATTACCGCAAGATTCATATTTCACCGAGGCAAACCACAACGGCAAAGCACCAAGGCAGCGCGCGTGTCGGTCGTGCCGCTCCGGCCGTACCACCAACATAGGCGGCTCACTCGGTTTGAGTTCGCCGTCCTCTTAGACGGAGATTCGATTCTTATATCTTAGGCGCCGCCTGCAGATTAGCAAACCCTCTTATATTCGTTAATCGGCGCCTCGATAAAAGCACGCCCATGGCGGACGACGAGGATCGCGTGCCGCTCAAGTCGCACGCGACCGGGGAGCTTCGTGGCCGTCGATTTCAGCCGTTCGATCGGCACGCTGTCGTGGAGCCGTTCGATGTCGCCCCTGTGACGCGGCGACTGAACTGGCGATTCGTAGCCGTCGCAGGGGCTCTGCTTCTTATCGTCATCTGGTGGCTATCATCACCTTATAGCGGGGACGGCTCCGCGTCGACGAATTCGATGGCCCTCTCAGGTTCGAATCCCGCCGAACCCTTTTCCTCTGCTCAATCCCCGCCGTCCGATTCTTTCCCCTCTTCCGCCACCGCTCCTTCCCCCGATACAGTCACAGTTCGTTCGGATACAGGCCCACACCCTGCCGCCGATGTAGTCACGTTCTCTGCGGATCCGAACTCAAGCTCGGCCGCTACAGCTGCCACCACACCTGCCGCTGCGCCTGCTGCTGCAGCATCTGCTACAGCCGCTGCTACAGCCGGTGCTGCATCTGCTCCGGAAGTATCAGCGGCAGCTGTAGCAGGAGCGCAACCACCATCGCTGCCTGGTTTCGCCGCGTCCGCAAATCCAGATTTGGCTGCTATGGCGCCAATCGCGGCAGCCACGTCAGCTCGTTCGCCCGCTCTTCGCGGGGATACTCCCGCCTCCGCGCCTGCCGCTTCTCCCCGTGCTGGTGTTTCGGAGAGTGCTACTAACGGTCGTGATTATAGCGAGTATGGAGCAGAGGGAATGTGGGGAGCAGAGGCGGAAGATAAGGGCTTGAATGAGGGTGACGAGTTGAAAAAGGGGTTTGGAAAATCGGAGAATGTAGAGGTAGAGGCTACACTGGAGGAATTGGAGCAGTCTTTAGCGGATCTCGAGGAGACTATTGACGAGGATAAGACGAAGAGCATAGGTCGCCTGGATGCAGCAGAAGCTGAGCTGGCGCAGCGCGAAAGTGACCTGTATTGGCGGCTGACTGATGCCGAAGCTCCCGCCGGGCCTAACGGTCCAGGCTCGGCAGGAGGTTCGGGTGGAACAGGTGGAAAGCTTTCAAATTCGGGACTTGCAGCTGCACCAGCTGCACCGGCAACAGCAGCACCAGCAGGAGCAGCAGGAGCACTAGCATCCCCACCGTCGTTCCCACCATCGGTGGCGGCAGCTGCCGCACCAGCAGCCGCAGGAGCAATAATAGGAGCAGCAGCACCATTAGCAGTGCCTGATACGCCAGCGAGCCATACAGGGGAGGACCCTCTCCTCTTTCCCCTCTCAGCAGCAGCACCACCATCAGCAGCACTCATTGCAGCAGCAGCATCAATAGAAGCAGCCGTGGCAGCAGGGGCGCCACTACCCCCTCCCACGCCCATCCCCTCTCTGCACTCCCTCTTGAAGGACGCGGATCTCAAGAGCCTCTCTGCTGCGCCTGGGGAGGGGGAGGACGTGGAGAAGGGAGGGGAGGGAGTGGGGGGAGCAGGTGGGAGTGGGAGTGGGAGGGGTGGTGGCGGGGGCGGTGGTGGTTTCTGGGGCGCATGGTGGGGCCATAGGCGCCTGGTTGCTGACGCTCTTGCCTCGTAGCAGGTAGCACCTTGTTTCACAACACCGGGGTGAATTTTGATTCAACTTGAGAGGAGGGGAAGGAGGGGAGGGAGTGAGTGGGGGGAGTGGGTGGGAGTGGGAAGGGTGGGGGGAGCCTTTGGGGCTCGTGGTGGGGCCGCAGATGCTTTGAGTCGACTCAAAAGTCAACTTGGGGCTCGTGGTGGGGCCGCAGACGCTTTGAGTCGACTCAAAAGTCAACTTGGGGCTCGTGGTGGGGCCGCAGACGCTTTGAGTCGACTCAAAAGTCAACTTGGGGCTCGTGGTGGGGCCGCAGACGCTTTGAGTCGACTCAAAAGTCAACTTGGGGCTCGTGGTGGGGCCGCAGACGCTTTGAGTCGACTCAAAAGTCAACTTGGGGCTCGTGGTGGGGCCGCAGACGCTTGGCTGCTGCCCCCGCCGCCATTGCTGCTGCTGCCGCCGCCGCCGCCGCCGCTGCCGCTGCTGCTGCTACCTCCCACCTTTTTAATTTCGATTGGTGTATTATTGACAACTTTGATGAAGGTGTACCTGCAACTGTCTCGTCTATTGATTCTATTTGATTGCTCGGGAGAGAGTTTTAGCCGTTGCACTCGGCGCAATGAAAGGCATTGACCTTAAGAGACAATGTTCGAGGTTGCTGCTGCTTCTGCTGCCGCCGCCTCTCCCGCAGCTGCTGGTGTTGTCGTTGATGCACTCTCACTTAAGGGCCACCACGAATGAATGGGCACTGATGCACGCAACGGGCACTGATGCACGCAATGGGCACTGATGCACGCCAGCTGTAGCTTAGGCAGAGGGAAATAGGGGGCTTGGATCGACGGGGAGCCGCGTGGCCGGAGCAGCAGATGCAGATGTTGACGCAATCACAATCTCATACCTACTTCAGTGAGATTGCTTCAGCTCATTTTTAGATTCGAGATCTATTGTAGCTTAGATTAGGATAGTCACATCCAGAAGCAGAGTTGGATCCATCCAGATCTAGGTCTTATCTTGGATTCAGCGTGTCAATCCCAACTGCGAAATGTGCCAGCTCAGCTCGAGGAGCCTCCATCAGCAGGAGCAGAGCCTCGTTTTAGGGCGCTTTAATGGTCGGAACGTGGCAGGGCAGCTGCTTGAGTTGAGGCTCGCCACGGCCATAAGCAGCAGGAGCGCCGTGGCTTCACGGACAGGTGCTTCCTTGTAGCTTCACGGACAGGTGCTTCCTTGTAGCTTCACGGACAGGTGCTTCCTTGTAGCTTCACGGACAGGTGCTTCCTTGTAGCTTCACGGACAGGTGCTTCCTTGTAGCTTTACGGACAGGTGCTTCCTTGTAGCTTCACGGACAGGTGCTTCCTTGTAGCTTCACGGACAGGTGCTTCCTTGTAGCTTCACGGACAGGTGCTTCCTTGTAGCTTCGTGTGAGCGAGGGATGGGAGGGGAAGGCGGATTGGGCAAAGTCAGTGAGAGCTGGAGGAGGGGGAGAGGGAGGGGGGAAGAGGGGGAAAAAGAAAGGATGAGGTGAAAGGTTTTGTCGAGGAGCGGAGTGTAGGTAGCAGGAGAGTAGGGCGGGTCTAAGGAGAGTGATGCAAGTGAGGAGGAGGAGGTTGGAAGGACAGTTGGCGGGAAGCATGCTGGGAAGGGGATGCGGAGAAGCATGCTGGGAAGGGGATGCGGAGAAGCAGGTTGAGCGGCAAGAAGGCCGAATCTATCTTTCGTCAAGCAATCAGCAGATACCGGCTTCCCAGGTTACCATCTTCTTAAAATTACAGCCTACCCAGGTTACCGCCCTCCCAAAGATACAGCCTACCCAGGTCACCACCTCCCTGTCGCCACCTCCCATGTGACCACCTCCCATGTGACCACCTTCCCTTCCCAGGAAGCTGCATGCACCTGAACTGAAGCAGATGGCAAGCGGGACAGACTGCACATTTCAGAGGGAGATAGTTCAGAGAGGTAGCTCAGTGAACCTCAGGTTATTAAACTGAAGCTGAGAGAGATAGCTACATACCGCTACCATCCCTGGGCTCTTGGAAAGCTGCTTATCTGTCGAGTCGTCTCGCCCACCGAGCTGTCCTGGGCACCAAGTCGTTTCTCACAACAAAGCGTTTCAATCAACTAACAAGCCATCTCACGTTAATAGTTTCTTCTGGCGCTGCAAGTTCCGAACCTGACAGCCGCAAACCTGCTGTACCCCCCTTGCCCCCCTGACGAACCTCCTGCCCGAACGTGCAGGCTTGGGGATAGGCTCGGACGGGCAGTACGATTTCGGGGATTCGAGCTCGTGGGGGGCAGCTGGAGGGGAGGAGGTGAAGGGGGGAGTGGGAGGCAAGGGAAGGAAAAATGTTGGGGCAGCAGGGGGGGAAGGAAGAGGAGGAGGAGAGGAGAGAGAGGTTGAACAGACGGAAAATGGGATGGGAGAGGGTGGGAGGCGTGGCGGTGGAGAGTGCAAGTTGTTTACCTTCTTTGATCCGAGTCAAGTTGCGGGGGATGTGGAGCAGGAGGCGAGGTGAGTGACTGTGTGAGTGAGTGAGTGACTGTATGGTGTGAGTGACTGTATGGCGTGAGTGACTGTATGGCTTCTGAGGCGCATCCCTTTTTGTAGTGATTGTCTAGCCCCCCATCGTATGGCGAATCCCATTTTGTAGCCCCTGTTTTCTTTCTCGCTGGTTCCATTTGTTGCACCTCCTACACACTCTTCCATTCCTCATTTCCCTTCCCCCCCCCGCTCCAGCCTGCTGCACGTGTGGCAGCTGAGTTGGCTCAAGGCGGGGTGGGTCCCCGTGGTGCTGCGAGGGGAGGAGAGCATAAAAGAACACGGAGAATATAACGAGATGCTGACACGCGCAGTGGAGGGGGCGGGGGGCGTGGCAATGAAGGTGAGGAGAGGGAGTGAGGGTAGGAAGGAGGGTGTTTGGGGAGGGGAGCGTGAAAGGGCATGGGCAATACAACGAGATGCTGACACGCGCAGTGGAGGGGGCGGGGGGGGTGGCAATGCAGGTGAGGGGGAAGTAGGGGGAAGGTGAGGGGGAAAGGGGGGGGAAAGAGGAGGGGAGAAGGGGGGGAGAAAGGGGAGGGGGGTGGGGGGGAAGGAGGGGTTAATGGGGGGGAAGGAGGGGGGAATGGGGGGGGAGGAGGGGGGAATGGGGGGGAAGGAGGGGGGAATGGGGGGGAAGGAGGGGGGAATTGGGGGGGAAGGAGGGGGGAATTGAGGGGGGAGGAGGGGGGAATTGGGGGGGTAATGGGGGGAGGGAGGGGAGTGTGAAGCTCAAGCCGGGGTCGGTGGCAGTGGTGTGGGGCTTAGTTGGAATTGACGGAGCCAGCGTTTTGACACTACATTTTTTACGCTGGACGGAACCCTCCGAGAGTTTGACGGTGGTTTTGACGCTCTGACGGGCAGGCGAAGAAAACCCTCCGGGCAGCCAGAAAAAACCAGCCATGACGGTTGGCTAAGCTCGACTTAAATGCATTAATTTAAGATCGTGCTCTATGCTAGCAACGGGAGAAAGAATGTTGCTGGTTGAAACCCTAGAATGAAGTCGAGTTAAAGCTCAAGGCCCAAATTGTTCAGGATTACTAAAGTTGACCCTTGGGTGGTGGGGGAGCTGAGTAGGAAAGTCGAGGTGTTGGAGGGGTGTAGGGGTTTGGTTTCGCCCAGCTTCTCGCCACACTCAAAACAAAATACGCTGACTCAGCAAAGCCTAGGGGACGCTCAGGTTTGGTTGCGCGAGTCCCATATTGCACAAATATTACTCTTGCCAGTTTCCCGCACCACCTGTTCCATTCGCTGACTCAAATGTTCTGGCCAATCAGATGGCTTCGTACATTTCGTAGCCACAATTCGCCCGGCTAAAGCTGCAAAGCAGGACTCGATCAACCTTACTAAACTTGCCTCGCGCGGCCCGCAATTTGGGCCTTGAGCTTTAATTGGGGAGTGGGCTAAATGCGTGTGTTCTGGTTGGGTGATGTAGATGTAGTGAGGTGGAAAGGGCTGGCAGGGTTGGATTTTGTTGAAGTGCTTTTTCTGTGTTGTGTCTCGTCGAGTTAAATCTGGAGTCGCGATTTCGGCGAGGACTCCCGAATTGTGTTTTTTTGGCCGAATTTTATTTTCGATTTCAGGCTGCCCGAAAAAAAAATCAGGCACCGTCCAACGTTAAAACGCTGGACGCTTGCTTGTCCCAGCGTCAATTCCAACTAAGGTGTGGGGAGGGGGGAAGTAGGGGTTGGGGATGGAGGGTATCAAAGGGCATTTTGAATACCAGGAGGTAAGAGCAAAAAAATCCCCTGCCTGTTCCTATTTTTCCCCTTCCCTTTCCACGGTTCACAGCCCATCGTGACTCGCTGGCTAGCCGTGGCAGCAGCAGGCGGGGGACTGTTTGCTCACTACGATGTCATCAACTTCGGGGTACCCCCCCCTGCCAACTGCCTTATTGGACCGCTGTCCACTTATGGGGTGAGTGGGGTGGTTGTGTGGGAGGGAGCATTACAAGGGCAGCAGCAGCAGGCGGGGGTCTGTTTACCCACTATGATGTCACACGCTTCGGTGCTCCATCCCCTGCCAACTGCCTCATTGGACCGCTCTCTACCTTTAAGGAAGGTGGGGGGGGTGGGTGAGTGAGGTCAAATGCAGCAGCAATGGAAGGGGCTGTTTGCTCACTATGATGTCATACGCTTCGGTGCTTGACCCCCTGCCAACTGCCTCATTGGACCGCTGTCTACCTATGGGGTAAGTGGGGTGGGCGGGTGAGTGAGTGAGGTCAAATGCAGTAGCAAAGGAAGCGTTAGAAGGGCAGCAGCAGGAGGGGCCCCATTTGCTCACTACGATGTGATCAGCTTTGGAGTCCGCCCTCCTGCCAACTGCCTTGTTGGCCCGCTCTCCATGTACCGGGTGCGTTGGGGAGGCGGAGCTGGAAGGGTAAACGGAGGGGGTATAAGGGCGGCAGAGTATAACGGGGCTGGAAGGGTATAAGGGGGGCGGCAGAGAGGCAAAAGGGCAGCAGCTGGGGGGTGCTCACTACGATGTCATCAACTTTGGCGTCCCCGCTCCTCCCCCCCGCAAATTGGTTTTGAGTCGACTCAAAAGCAGACTTTGGCGTCCCCGCTCCTCCCCCCCGCAAATTGGTTTTGAGTCGACTCAAAAGCAGACTTTGGCGTCCCCGCTCCTCCCCCCCGCAAATTGGTTTTGAGTCGACTCAAAAGCAGACTTTGGCGTCCCCGCTCCTCCCCCCCGCAAATTGGTTTTGAGTCGACTCAAAAGCAGACTTTGGCGTCCCCGCTCCTCCCCCCCGCAAATTGGTTTTGAGTCGACTCAAAAGCAGACTTTGGCGTCCCCGCTCCTCCCCCCCGCAAATTGGTTTTGAGTCGACTCAAAAGCAGACTTTGGCGTCCCCGCTCCTCCCCCCCGCAAATTGGTTTTGAGTCGACTCAAAAGCAGACTTTGGTGTCCCCGCTCCTCCCCCCCGCAAATTGGTTTTGAGTCGACTCAAAAGCAGACTTTGGCGTCCCCGCTCCTCCCCCCCGCAAACTGGTTTTGAGTCGACTCAAAAGCAGACTTTGGCGTCCCCGCTCCTCCCCCCCGCAAATTGGTTTTGAGTCGACTCAAAAGCAGACTTTGGCGTCCCCGCTCCTCCCCCCCGCAAATTGGTTTTGAGTCGACTCAAAAGCAGACTTTGGCGTCCCCGCTCCTCCCCCCCGCAAACTGGTTTTGAGTCGACTCAAAAGCAGACTTTGGCGTCCCCGCTCCTCCCCCCCGCAAATTGGTTTTGAGTCGACTCAAAAGCAGACTTTGGCGTCCCCGCTCCTCCCCCCCGCAAATTGGTTTTGAGTCGACTCAAAAGCAGACTTTGGCGTCCCCGCTCCTCCCCCCCGCAAATTGGTTTTGAGTCGACTCAAAAGCAGACTTTGGCGTCCCCGCTCCTCCCCCCCGCAAATTGGTTTTGAGTCGACTCAAAAGCAGACTTTGGCGTCCCCGCTCCTCCCCCCCGCAAACTGGTTTTGAGTCGACTCAAAAGCAGACTTTGGCGTCCCCGCTCCTCCCCCCCGCAAATTGCCTCGCTGGTTCGCTCTCTATGTACGGGTGAGTGGGGCTGAGAGGTGCAAGGGTGAACGAGAGGGGAGACTGTAAGGGCAACAGGGAGGCACACGAGTAGCAGCAAGTGTGAGTACTATCTGCTCACTACAATATCATCAGCTATGATGCCTCTCCCTGTGCCAACTGCCTCAATAGACCGTTCTCTCTACCTATGGGGTGAGTGGGAAACGAAAGCTGCTTTCATGCTTTCATCAACTTTTGTGTCCCTCGCTGTCCCGCCTGCCCCTACCCTCCCCATTCCGCCCGCCCTCCCCATACCCCCTTCTCGAATCAAACTCTCTTCGTCTTCCTGCTCCTCGGCCAACCACACGACTGTGCTTGACTAGCCCAGCCAGGTTGCTTCCCGCTGCCTTTCCAGACAGAAACCTACTTACTTCCACCTCCATCTCTTCCTCCCCTCCTCCCCTCCCCCCTTCCAAAACCAGGATCTGTTCCCCTTCATGCTCTCCGGCCAGCCAGACGACTTTGCGCGCCTAGCCCAGGCGCGCCTACCACTGCCAATGCAGGCAGCCCATCCTGCCCCCAGTATCACGGGGGTGGTGTCGCCTCGCTTCCGTTTCCCCGCTGTCAGGGGCATTGTGCGCTGCTCCCCTGCTGCTCTGCCGCTCTTCCTTCAGCCTCCCATCCTCCAGGTGAGATACGAAGAACCACAACCCCCTGCTGCTGCCCTGCCCTTACAAGCAGCGCACTCTGCTGCCCTGCCCTTACAAGCAGCGCACTCTGCTGCCCTGCCCTTACAAGCAGCGCACTCTGCTGCCCTACCCTTACAAGCAGCGCACTCTGCTGCCCTGCCCTTACAAGCAGCGCACTCTGCTGCCCTGCCCTTACAAGCAGCGCACTCTGCTGCCCTGCCCTTACAAGCAGCGCACTCTGCTGCCCTGCCCTTACAAGCAGCGCACTCTGCTGCCCTGTCCTTACAAGCAGCGCACTCTGCTTCCCTGCCCTTACAAGCAGCGCACTCTGCTGCCCTGCCCTTACAAGCAGCGCACTCTGCTGCCCTGCCCTTACAAGCAGCGCACTCTGCTGCCCTGCCCTTACAAGCAGCGCACTCTGCTGCCTTGCCCTTACAAGCAGCGCACTCTGCTGCCCTGCCCTTACAATCAAGCAGCGCACTCTGCTGCCCTGCCCTTACAAGCAGCGCACTCTGCTGCCACGAGCATTTACTTCTTGTCTCATTCTCTGTCCCTGCACCATTGGCATGCCAACAATGAAAGGGTGGCAAGGGAAATACCGCTAACGGTGCACCATGACAACGAATCAGTGACTTGTGACAGCTGTCAAATGCTGGCTCCGATGCTGGGTTGTCATGTCATGACACTTAGTGGCCACCTGCACATCGCGGCAGTCAGATGACCGTGCACAACACCTTTATCAATTCTCTCCTTTCTTTCCACACGCTCATTTCTCCTCTCACTCTCTCTCTCTTCTCTTCCCACCCACCCATGCTCTTCCCCCCTGCTTGCCATGCACTTTCCTGGCAGCTTCCCCCGTGGCGCCAGGTCTCTGCTCTCCTCTGCTCCCACTTCTCCCGAACCACAACCTTCCGAGCCTTCGCCATACCTCCCCTCGCCACCGTACCTGCCGCCTTAGCCTCCCTCCGCTCCTCCCTCTCCTCCTGCCCCAACTACACTCTCCTCTCCTTCCCCCTCCTCCTCCCCCCCTCCCCTTCCAACCTCACCTTCCTCCTCCTCCCCCACCACATCTCCCTCGCTCTCGCAACCGACTATCTCTCTTACTCTGCCAACCCCCAAAACGCCCCTGCCTGGTTCAAGAACCTCTATCCCGGCATGCCCGTGCCAGCAGGCATTTCTAACTTGGAATTTCTCCACGCTCTCACACACCACCTGCAGTCTCTTCCTGTGAATCAAGAAGATTCCACCACCGATAACCGCCTCTCCCGGGCCGTATCCCGGGTCCTAAACATCCCCCTTACAGCAGCTCCGTTAGCAGTAGAAACACAGAAGCAGACAGTTGCTGTCGCACGATACGACATGGCGGGGGATGTGGTAACCGTGTTACAAGCAGCGCTGGGGTTCAGGATAGGCAGGGGGGAGGGAGAGGCGTTAGAGAATGCTGTGAGGGCGGGTTGGGAGGCGACAAGGCCGTTTGCGTCGCATGTGCATGGGGAGGTGTTGGATACGATTCTGGGGCGCAACCTGGTGGATGTGCGATTGCTGCAGGCTGCTGGAGTGAGGGTGGACGAAGCATTGGCTCGTGCCAAGGTGCTTGATGGATAGCTGTTCTGCTTATGTGTATGGGCAGTTTGGCCCATGTGATAAGGCCGTTTGCATGGCAGGTGCATGGGGATGTGGTGGATACGATTGTGAGGCGCAACCAGGTGGACGCGTGATTTCTGCTGGCTTGTGCCAAGGTGCTTGTTGGATAGCTGTTGCTCGCTCTGGTGGGAGCATTGGGAGGAGAGGAGGGATACAGTTGGTGATACCGTAGCAGCATGGGTGGGGATACGGTTGCTGAAGGCGTCAACCCCATTGCTCAATGTCAGGTACATGTGAAACTGGTGCAGGCTGCAGGGGAGAAGTACGGTACGTGACGAGGCGGTTGGCTTACCTTGTGTACATGTGCTTAGAGGGAGTTGTGGGACGCAGTGCAGAGGTTTGGAGGGAGGGAGGGAGTACGGGTGTTTGTCATTACTGTGCAGTGGAGAAGGGCACCTTTCCAGTCTAGTTGTTGTAGAGGAACGCAGTGCAGAGGTTTGGAGGGAGGGAGGGAGGAAGGCACACGCATGTACTGTACTGTACTGACTTGTCATTGATACTGTACAGTGGAGGTGGTATCTTTCCAGCTGCTTCTACGGCTAGCTGTATATTTAGAAACCTTGCTTTCTTTCATGTAGCAATGGCATCGTCTCATTTCAAATGGGTTTAGTAAATTTTGAAATCCAAGCAGCCTATCAGACTAATGTGCTAACACATTTCAAGGGGTGGGTGGGCGGGAAAATCGGCTAAACCGTTTGAAAATGAGAGACGTGGGTGGAGGGAAATGACCTCCAGCCCACGTTTCGTACTCCAAAACGGGCGTTTAGCGCGGTTCGTCGCTGCCCATTCCTACATTACAGACTGCTTCGCTTTCAAAATACGAAATTTTGAAAAGCGTTACACTTTTAAAAATATTCATTTAATAAACCTCTAGTCGCTTCCTGTCAGAATAGCCCATTCACCTAAGTACTTGTGGCTACACACAGACACACACGCACGCACGCACGCACGCACGCACGCACGCACGCACGCACGCACGCACGCACGCACGCACGCACGCACGCACGCACGCACGCACGCACGCACGCACGCACGCACGCACGCTCGCACGCACGCACGCACGCACGCACACACAACAGTCGCAATGTGGTAGCTTCACTTGCTGCTTCTGCCACTGAAGGAATCCCGCGTCTCCATTCGGTGAACCCGCTTTGCCCAACAGCAGGCTGAGACTGAGGCTTTACAATGCTTATGCTAATTGTAGTATGTATCACACTGTTGACCATAGTAAATATATATTGCCATAATTCAATGGCACACTATGGTACGCATAATTTATACAGTAGGTGTAGCAGTAGTGTTCGGCACAGCAGGTCTGCTGCCACCCTTCCCTTCTCCAGACAACGACGCTTGTAATGAGTTTGGCTTGCCCTCCACAGTTCCTGCTGATGACAATTGCTCTGTACTTGACGACGATGCCACTGATGATAACGAGGATGCTACTAACGAGGTTGGGGACGGTAGAGGCGAGTGGGAGAGTGCATCAAGGTCAGCACCGGAGGGCAGGTAGGAGGATTCAAGCCCCACTGCGGACCCAAACGTCGTGTAGCCCTTCTCTGCCCCTGAGATCTCCAAAAAGGCCCGTGCCATGCTGGGGGGAGGGAAGGAAGGAGAGGGAGCGGGGAAATCAGGAATAATTTATGCGGATAATCATAGAAATAACATGAACTTTGCCATTTGCTGTGTTGAGGACTCTCACACATACCTCTCAAACACTCAGACGTTTCAGAACCAGCGTTGCTGCCTTGCTGCTGGACCTGCATGGCTGTGCTGCCTTTGCCTGCCCTGCAATTTCACACCTTGGTACTGCACCAAACGCCTCCCACCGTGTCACTTGTCATCTAACCCCTTGGCTGTCTTCTCCATAACCACCATCTGCAAGGCCTTTTTTGGCTCTCCCAGCCCTATCACACCTTGGTGCCACACCAAAAACCTTACCACCGCACCAAAAACCTTCCCACCGTTCTGCCCTCCCTCGTCTCACCCCTCAGCTGTGAGTGCTCGCTTCTCCATGGCCACCATCTGCTGCTGCATCGTCTGGCCCTTCTCCTGCAGACAGGAGGAGGCATGACGAGGTGGGAGAGTGGGAGAGACATGGTTGGCACATCGCACATGGATGGCACATGGCACATGGTTGGCACATGGCACATGGTTGGCACATGGCACATGGTTGGCACATGGCACATGGCATAGAAGGGCTGTATATTCGCCAACCACACATACAGCACCAGACTCACCACAAGCATCTCAACGATATGTTTGTGTGTGTCCGTCCACCTGCTGCCTGCCCGTCATATAAGGCGCCTGGTAACACACAGGGCACGCATAGTGCTTCCATGGCACAGACAGCACCAGACTCACCACGCGCATCTCAAATCATGCGCATGTGAGTGTCAACCTGCTGCCTGCTTGTGATGTCAGGCACGTGATAACACATACATAGTGCACGCATGGTACTCTTAGGGTACACAGAACAGAGAACCAACTCACCACCAGCATCTCAATCACGCGCTTGTGTGTGTCCACCTGCTGCCTGCCCACTGCTATCATCTCCTCTTGCTCCCTCTTGTCCCCCTCCAGACGACCAATCACCTGCATGCAGCAAGGAGCATCCAAAGAGGCGAGTGTGCAATAAGCAAGGCTAGTCTTTTCCCCCTCCAGACGACCAATCATTTGCAACAACGAGGATGCATTAGGCAAGCTGAGTCGACTAGAAACGATGAAGGCGCATCAACAAGTGATCAGGCCGATTTCCAAGTCGACTAAAACCATGCGCGTGTATGACCCATCACCATGCGCATGTATGACCCATCACCATGCGCATGTATGACCCATCACCATGCAAAGTCATTCGATGATAGCTCTCCAGAAGAAAGGGACGTGTCTTGAAGGCGCCAATTAACAGTATACAATCATGAATCACACACAGCCAAACTTATCCTCTTGAGTCTCTCTCACACTGTTACACACACGCGCACTCACCCGCTTGAGTCGCTCTATCTCCATCTCCTTGTCCTCCACCCTATCATGCAGCCCCTCCACATCCCGCCGCATCTTCTCCTCCTTTGACGCCAATGCCCTCAGCAGCGCATTCAGCTCGCGCTGCATCTCAATCTGCGAGGGCGAGGGGGAGGGGGAGGGGGAGGGGGATGCTCAGCCCTTGAGTCACCCAGGTCGATGCGAGTCAACGCAAGTCAACCACAGTCTTTCCACCCCGTCGTTCAGCCCCTCCACCTCGTGTTGCATCTTGTGCCAACGCCCTTAGCAGTGCATTCACCTCCCTCTGAATATCAATCTGCGAGGATGCAAGAATGGTGGAGGAACTCAATAAAAGTCAATCGAATTTTACCGCCGCCCTTTCCATCTCCCGCCTCATCTTCCCCTATTTTGACGCCAATGCCCTCAACAGTTCGATCAGCTCCCTCTGCAAATCAACCGGATTGAATGAGGTAGTGAAAGTCAACAAAAGGCAGTCAACATTAGCCAAATGAGTATATCGAGGTGACTTTTGAATAGACTCAAAAGTGCGGGAGTCAATCTAGAGCCAAGCAGCGTCCTCGTTCAGCTCCCTTAGTCGAATGAGCATATCCTCGTTCAGCTCCCTTAGTCGAATGAGCATATCCTCGTTCAGCTCCCGCTGCCTCTCAATCTGATGACATGAGACGGTGAAATTCTGATGAAATGAGATGGTGAAAGTCCACACAAGTCAACAAAAGTCAAATACAGAAACAACCAGAATATAGTCAAGGAAAGGAGAGGCAGCCAATGCCCTCAGCAGCAATGCTTTCAGTTCTCCCTGCATCCCATCCTCATTCAATGAGATGCTTTTGAGTCGACTCAAAAGCAGTTCTCCCTGCATCCCATCCTCATTCAATGAGATGCTTTTGAGTCGACTCAAAAGCAGTTCTCCCTGCATCCCATCCTCATTCAATGAGATGCTTTTGAGTCGACTCAAAAGCAGTTCTCCCTGCATCCCATCCTCATTCAATGAGATGCTTTTGAGTCGACTCAAAAGCAGTTCTCCCTGCATCCCATCCTCATTCAATGAGATGCTTTTGAGTCGACTCAAAAGCAGTTCTCCCTGCATCCCATCCTCATTCAATGAGATGCTTTTGAGTCGACTCAAAAGCAGTTCTCCCTGCATCCCATCCTCATTCAATGAGATGCTTTTGAGTCGACTCAAAAGCAGTTCTCCCTGCATCCCATCCTCATTCAATGAGATGCTTTTGAGTCGACTCAAAAGCAGTTCTCCCTGCATCCCATCCTCATTCAATGAGATGCTTTTGAGTCGACTCAAAAGCAGTTCTCCCTGCATCCCATCCTCATTCAATGAGATGCTTTTGAGTCGACTCAAAAGCAGTTCTCCCTGCATCCCATCCTCATTCAATGAGATGCTTTTGAGTCGACTCAAAAGCAGTTCTCCCTGCATCCCATCCTCATTCAATGAGATGAGGTGGTGAAAGCCCATGGAAATCAATCAGAGTAAATTATAGTCAAATACACTGGTCATCCATGACAGCTTGCTCCGGCACCACTACTGCAATCTGCTGCCATGATACTTTCATCCATTGCAGCCTGCTCTTATACTCAATCATTACAGTCTGTATTATACAGAGTACACAGAAGAAAGCTCTGTATCCCGCAGGCCATTCATCCCTCCCACCCGCCCACCCACCCACCCACCCACCTGCTTGTCCATAAGAGCTTGCTTGAGCACCACTGCTGCCTGCTGCTGCTGCTGCTGCTGTGCTTATGTTAGTTGCAGCCTGCTCTCGCACTCAATACTGCCAAGCACAAGCACAGCTCATCCATTGATCCCACCTGCTTGTCCATGACAGCTTGCTCGAGCACCACTGCTGCCCGCTGCTGCTGCTGCGACAGCTCCCTCCGAAGCACCTCCACCTCGTTCGTCATTTGCTCCACCTGCGGGGGAAGAGGGATGGGTGGAATGAAGAGAGGGTAATAGATGGGACTAATGGGCAGATGGGTTGTACTCGGGTGGCTTGCTGCGACAGCTCTCTCTCTCTGACCGAAGCACTTCCACCTCGTTCGTCATTTGCTCCACCTGCGGGGTAGAGGGATGGGGGGGAACGCGAGGAGGGACACAGAGGGAAAGGGACAGAAAGGAATGGATGGGCGAGTGGGAGGCAGTAGCTCCCTCCGAAGCACTTCCACCTCGTTGGTCATTTGCTCCACCTGCCAGCCAGGTAGATGAGCAGTATGGCTCATTTCACTCAGCCAGGTAGATGGATAGTGTGAGTGAAATGAGCAGTATGGGTGAGGGCAGGATTTAGAAGCATTGATGAAGCAGATTTAGTTGAGGAGATTTGTTAGCGAGTATTCAGCACAGGGCGTATATGATATGGACATTTGATAGAATTAAGAGAGAAAATGGAATGAAGCAGATTTGTTAGCACAGAGAGAAACAAAGAAGATATGGATATTATTGAGAAAAACTGAAAGAACAGAGAGAATCTGAAGAAGTCAGTTTGTACATGCGTCCAACCCACCTTCACTGTGAGCTGCATGTGTGTGTCTCTCTGAGCCATTTCCACCATGGCTGTTTGAAGAGCCTCCACCCTGTGCATACACAGAACAGAGACACACAGAGTGGCATGGTGACGTCATCCACCGCTGCACACACTACCACTGGGAACACCCCCTGTTATCAAAGTCGTATCGCACTTGTGGTGTCGGGAGGGACCACTATCTACAATGAATTCTTACCAATGGGGCAATCGTCACGTGTCAGACGGCATGTTCACGTCAAGTGAACCTGCCCATGGTCCACTTGTCACCACAGCGTTGAATGATTCTCACTCATGACTGCTAAGAACGACGCTCGTGGTGACCTTCTTGTGAAGACCAGCTGCTCGTGTTCAGCCCTCCATTGACCTTTTGAGAGGTCCATGGATCAATTCTCACTGCTGTCAACATTGTTCCACAACACAAACGTGGCCATTCAGTTCAATATACACCACCAATGAATTGAATCCATTCTTCTGACAGCTGTCAGAAAGCTACCACACTTTCTTCTCACCGCTGCTGTGACTCGTGATGGCTCCTTGGGGTGAACATCAGCTGATCTAATTCAACCTCCCACTAGTACTTCAGTAGTCCAGAGATCAATTCTCGCTGCTGTCAACAAATGGTCATTTCTCTTAAGGCTGCTGTGACTCGTGGTGACTCTCCAGAATGAAAATCAGCTGCTCGTATTCAATATCCGTCAGTCATCTGAGAAGTCCATGGATCGATTCTCACTGCTGTCAAACTTAACAGCTGTGTGCTCACCGCGTCTGTGACTCGTGGTGGCTCTCCAGTGTGAACACTAGCTGCTCCTTGAGCCACGCCACCTGGCAGAAGGGAGAGGAGGGGAGGAAGGGCGGGGAAGGAGGTAGGGAGGGATGAGAGGGAATAAGACCACTTTCAGCTCTCCAGAGTGAATACCAGCTGCACATGTAGCCATGCTACCTGCCAGGAGGGAGGGAAGAGAGGCGAGGCCGGGGAGGAGGGCAGGGAGGGATGAGAGGGAATGATGAGCACCACTTTTAGCTCTCCAAAGTGAACACCACCAGCTGCTCCTTTAGCCACGCCACCTGGCAGAAGGGAGGGGAGGGAGGGGGGGGGAGGGGAGGGAGGGGAGGGAGAGGAGGGAGGGATGGAGGGGAGGGAGGGGATGGAGGGGATAGAGGAAAGGGAGGAGGGATAGGAGGGAGAGGAAAGGGTTGGAATCCTGAGAATTCTCTCAAATCTCATGCAGAGAGAACACACACTATGCCCTTGAACCCACCTGCTTTGGAACCCACCTGCCCTGGAACCCACCTGCTTGAAAAACCACCTGCCCTGGAACCCACCTGCTTGAAAAACCACCTGCCCTGGGGCCCACTCTAACCTGTGCTTGCAGATCCAGCATGGCCGTCATATCCCTCTTCAACCGCTCTGAACCGTCCCCAACCTGCCCCTCCCCTTCCCCCACCATCCCGTCTGCCCCTCCTGCAGCTGCATCAGCAGCAGCAGCAGATGTTGCCCCTCCTCCTCCCCCACCGAACAGAGACCCTGCCTGACCCCATCCGGACCAGCTCCATGCAGCAGCAGCTGATGGTACAGCTGCTGTTGCTCCCCCTACTCCCCCTGCCCCCCCTGCCCCCCCTGCTCCCCCTGCTCCCCCTGCCCCCCCTGCTCCCCCTGCCCCCCCTGCTCCCCCTGCTCTCGCTTCCCCTCCTGCCACTCCTGGTTCCACCGCCGCTGCTGCACCTGCTCCCTCTCTGGAGCAATCCTCGTCACCAGCACCACCATCATCGCCAGTAGCACCAGCATCAGCAGAGGCACCGGTAGCACCGTTGGCAAGGAAAGGGATGGGGGGAGAGGCGGGGCTGCGGTTGAGAGCCGCAAGGTCGTGAGAGGAGGACGAGCGGCGGTGGTCAGGCCAGGGGGGGAGAGAGGTGGAGGAGAAGGAGAAGGAACCCGCTGCTCCTGCTAGCATCCCGGTTGGCATGCCTGCTGATCCACCACCCACTGCTAGCATGCTTGTTGAAGAGACTGAGGAGACGGTGGTGGCTACCAGCCAGCTCACATCAGGCCAGGAGGAACCATCTATAGGCATATCCAGGCCACCATTCACCCTCCTATCCCTCGCCTCTCTCCCACCTTCCACCCCTGCTGCTTCCAACAACACAGCCACGGCCCGAGCCACCCGGTTCGGCAGCGACAGCTTTGGCGCCCCCCGGGGCTGCGTCTGCTCCTCCTCCATTTGCTTAGCTAAAAGCGCCACCATGTTCCTAGCGGCAGGGCTGCACCCTAAATGCATGCCAAAGCGGTGCCAAACGGGCCTATGGAGAGCTGACACGTGGAGCCTTGAGAGGGAGGAGGACCGGGCAAGTGGAGGGCTGGGGGGGAGGGGAAACAGCCTCGCTCCAGGCTTGAATTGGACAGGTGGAGGGCGCTGATTGGCTGCTGGGCCTGCCTGGGAGTCCCCCTGAACAACCCCCTTCTGACGCCCCTGCGTGGGGAGAGGCGGTAGTTGACTGTTTCTACTGTTACCGCTCTTGCTATTACTAAGAACACTGTTAGTAGCGAGGCTGTCAGTAGAGGGTGGGAGGAGCAGCGACGGCGGATCCAGCAGGAGACCCGACCCAGAGGCAGCGACAGCAGAAGGGGAGGGGAGGATGGAGTCGTCAAGGGAGTTGGTGGTGACGGGGCGGCCGTCAGCAGTGGGGTGGAGGGACATGCGCTCGAAGATTGCAGCAGCCTCCGCCTTGAGGCGCTCCGACTTGCCGCTCTGGTAGCGCTGCAGCGCCACCTGCCTCTCCTCCAGCCGCCTCATTATGGCCGGCCGGTGCTTCTGCCTCAGTGTCTGGGGAGGGGAGGAAGAAGACAAGGGGGGGAAGGGTGAAGAGGGCAAAGGGTGGGAATGAAACCCCTTGCTGTTGTGAATTGCCACTCTGGTACCGCTGCAGTGCCACCTGCCTCTCTTCTAGTCGACGCATGGCCGGCCGGTGCTTCTGCCTCAGGGCCTGCCGTGGGGAGGAAACGAGAGGGGAGAGGGAGGAACGGATTAAGGAAACCCGTTGTTGTTGTGTGTGTGTGACTTGCCACTCAGGCAGTGCTGCAGGCAGGGCGACGTGCCTCTCCTCCACTCCAGAAGACACATGATGGCCGGCCGGTGCTTCTGCCTCAGGGCCTGGGCTGGGGAAGGGGAAGGGGAAGGGGAAGGGGAAGGGGAAGGGTTGGAAGTCGGAAGATTGTTGCAACAGGTGGAGACGCCTCAAAAAGTGCAGGTTAATTGACGACTCTTGAGCAGCCTCAAAAGCCATGAGACCTCACTCACTCACACTAGGTGTCTGTTGAGCTGAGTCGAGTCAAACGTCAACTCAGATGAGTCGGGTCAAACGTCGCCTCAGATGAGTCGAGTCAAACGTCACCTCAGATGAGTCGAGTCAAACGTCACCTCAGATGAGTCGAGTCAAACGTCACCTCAGATGAGTCGAGTCAAACGTCGCCTCAGATGAGTCGAGACAAACGTTACCTCAGATGAGCCGAGTCAAACATCACCTCAGATGACATGATAATATCTCTGCCGGTCTGAAAACGAGGTGACTTTGAGTCAACTCAAAAGTCACCTTTGAGTCGACTCAAATGTCACCTTGAGTCGACTCAGAAGTCACCTTGAGTCGACTCAAATGTCACCTTGAGTCGACTCAAATGTCACCTTGAGTCGGCTCAGAAGTCACCTTGAGTCGACTCAAAAGTCACATCGTCAAACGTCACCTCAGATGAAAACGCGTTTCGAGTCGAGACTCGGAAGTTCACCTCAGGTCTGAAAGCAGTGTTTTGAGACGTCTCGAAACACTTGTTTTATCACGCGGAGGTTCCCCTCAAAGCACGCGGAGGTTCCCCTCAAAGCACGCGGAGGTTCACCCGAGGTCTCAAAGCACCACGTCTTCCCCACCCACCTCCCAATACTGCGTCCGTTACCTCACCTCCATTACCTTACCTTACCTCCGTTGCCTTACCTCACATGCGTCCGCCACCTCACCTCTAAAACATATTTTGAGTTTTGTCTAAAATTACTCCGACCGGTATGGTACGGTCCTCCTCCTGCACCCACCACGCACACGCACCCATGCACCGCACCGCACTGCACCCATCCTCACCTCTAATAACGCCTCGTCCACAGCCATGTACCCCACACACGCGTTCAGCACCAGCTGACTGGCATCAAAGGCCGACGCTGCCGAGTTCAGCAGGGTGGACATGAGCTCGCCTGTCTCAGTGATTTCCATCAGTAGGAAGGCTGTGCAGGGAGAAAAGGAGAGGGGGCAGGGAAGGGGGCAGGGAAGGGGGCAGGGAAAGAAAAGTGGTATCAAAGGCTGATGCTGCTATGCTCTGGAAGGTCGACATGCGCTCGCCTGTTTCAGTGGGCTCCATCAGTAGAAAGGCTGTGCAAGGGAGAGAGAGGTGAAGGGAAGTGGAGGGAGGGCAGAGAGTGAAGGGAGAGCGGATGAGGGTGGACATGTGCTCGCCCTGCTCACATGAGTCAGTCAGCTCCATCAGCAAAGAAAGCTCCAGCAGATGAGGAAGGAGGGGACGGAAGGACGGAGATGGGAACATCGGAAGGGGGGGGGGGGATATGGATCAGCAAGAGGTCGCCGCCAGCCAGTCTTGCTTCGCTCAAGCCTCGTTTTGGCCTCTTATATGCACGCGATGAGAGATAGGTCTGAAATTGCGTGTCTATTGCAAGGGATGAACAAGTTGAGTGGAGGGGCATGGTTGAGCAAGATAACAAAAGAAGAGCATAAGCTTGACGAAGGGCGCCTTGCTGCACCATGCTGCTTGAAGCGCAAATGCAATCACTTCACAGGGAAGGAAAACAGCAATGAGGGGGAAGAGAGGCGAAGGGAAGGGAAGAGAGGCGAAGGGAAGGGAAGAGAGGCGAAGGGAAGGGAAGAGAGTGTTAGATTATAGCATCAGTTGGGTTGCAAATATGCGAGTGTAACACCCAAACATGGGTGTACACTTTGGGCCAAGGCGCCCCAACCATTTTTGGTTGGGCTCGTCCCAACCCCTATCTGCCACAATTGGCGGGGGGAACCAGGCCCCCCAATAATTGGCAGCCACCTCCAAAACATTATTGGTGGCCACTCCCATTGGCTCACCAATAATGTCGCAGGGTACCCAACCTAGGTCCCCCACTTCTCATCGCTTATATGTACCCACGATCTTTCTTATCAAATCAACTCTTGAGTTCACCTCTCATCCCAACTATGGGATTCTCACAGAGAGGCGAAGGGAAGGGAAGAGAGGCGAAGGGAAGGGAAGAGAGGCGAAGGGAAGGGAAGAGAGGCGAAGGGAAGGGAAAAGAGGCGAAGGGAAGGGAAGAGAGGCGAAGGGAAGGGAAGAGAGGCGAAGGGAAGGGAAGAGAGGCGAAGGGAAGGGAAGAGAGGCGAAGGGAAGGGAAGAGAGGCGAAGGGAAGGGAAGAGAGGCGAAGGGAAGGGAAGAGAGGCGAAGGGAAGGGAAGAGAGGCGAAGGGAAGGGAAGAGAGGCGAAGGGAAGGGAAGAATTGCTGAAGTGATCACTTCACTCACAGTGCTGCTCGAGAAGCGCGAGGCACGCCTTTTGAGACGTCTCAAAAGTTGACATAAGCCCTGAACCCCCAACCATGAGTGATCACTCACAGTGCTGCTCGAGAAGCGCGAGGCAAGCCCGGAAGAGCATGCAGCGACTGCCCTCAAACAGCATCACGTCCCACACACGCAGCACTGCGAAGTTGGGGGGGGAGGGAGGGGGAGGAGCGAGTGAAGAGAGTGGGGTGCTTGTTTCTAATGCGTGCCCTCAAACAACAGCACGTCCCACACGCGCGGCACCACTGCGAGGGGACAGGGGGAGGGTGAAGAGAGAGGGTGGGGAGGGAGGATGTATGTTGATGTGTGCCTGGTGTCTGCAACGGCATCACGTCCCACAAATCACGCGACGGAGAGAGAAGTGGGAAGGGGGGAAGGGGGGAAGGGTGAAGAGAGGGTGGAAAAGGTCGGTGCATATCTATGTTGCATATTGTGTTGGGGATCTCAGGGAAAGGTTGGCTCGGTTGGGAGGCAGTGGCATGGGACGGCAGGATTTGGGGGGGAAGAAGGAACGGAAATGGACGGGAGCAAGGAAGGAGGTGAAGGGAGGGAAAAGGGGGGGGGATAGAGAGCAGTCAAGGAGTGTTGTTCGGAATCTACGTTTTGGGTTTATTGCTGTTGATACATTAGACATAGTTGGATGATAAGAAGATGTGCAAATGCATTTGGCGTATGCGTGGCACACACACACACAGCGGTGCTACAGCCTAGAGTGTTCTGAAAACACTATATGAATGCGCAATACTGGATTCACATGCGAGAGTTCTTAGAAATGAAGGATCTAAAAAATCAACCATTCACTCAGTATTCCTGGGGGAAAAACCGATAAACAGAGGTTCAGTCTTGAGACATTTTAGAACAACTCGTCTCACCACTTTCCCATGGAAACACGTTGATGAAGAGGGAGAGGAACCAGGGGCCTGTGATCCACGACAGCTGCACCCCCATGTTCTCAAAGTGCGTTGCTGGAGAGGTGAGGGGAGGAGAGGAGAGGAGGTTGCGCGGCAATAAGGAGGATAGGAGAGAGGGAGAAAGAGAGGGAGAGGAACCAGGGGCCGGTTATCCACGGCAGCTGCACCCCCATGTTCTCAAAGTGCGTTGCTGCAGTGATGCAACAATGGAGAGGGTAGGAGAGGGTAGGAGAGTGAGGGAGAGGGATAGGAGAGTGACGCGGCAAAGGGAAGGGTAGGAGGGAAAGAGAGCTTGAGGAGGAACCAGGGGCCAGTGATCCATGATAGGAGATTGGAAGAGGGAGGGAGAGGGTGAGGAACCAACCAGGGGCCAATGTGGTCCATGGCAGCTGCTATCTCAAAACGGGTTGCTCGAAGAAAGATGTTCATGAAGCAGAGCGGAGAACATGGGTTTGAAATAGGCTTTGTGCACATCCATTCTTTTCCTAATGCACAAGACCAAGCCAGGAATGGAGAAAGGAACATGAGAATCCAGTCTCACCAAGTCGAGGGAAGTTTTGTCTCACAAGGCCTTCAAACACCAGCTGGTACACCTGTTGTGCGCGGGCGAGCGATGGGGAACATACACGCACGTACACCCACCCACACACACACATACCAGGCCAAGCCAGTCTCACCAAGTCGAGGGAAGTTTTGCCTCACGAGGTCTTCAAACACCAGCTGGTCCACCTGTTGTGTTGGGAGCGGGCGAAGGAGAGACAAGTTACAAGAGTTCCAAGCATGCACGCGCACGAGCGTAAGCACCCATACAAACAGGACAAATATAAGCAAACAGTGAATCTGTCTGACGTTGCCATCCCACCTGAACCAAATCGTTTTGACAGAGCATCGGCACTTTCGCATTGGGGCCCACCAATACCTTGCATGAGCTGGATGGGGACAAGTTACAAGAGTTCAATGGTTCAATGGTTCACATCACACAGATAGCTCACATTGAGCCCTAGTCAGGCGCCTCAAGGTCTCAACACCTGCTGACTCCGCATGACACAATCAACTCCAACAGCCTCACCTGGGCCTCACCTGAGTCACCTGAGCTTCACCTGAGCTTCACCTGAGCTTCACCTAAGCTTCGATCATGCTATGGGGGAGTAGACGGTAGTGGCCCCTCGGAGAATTGTCCGCGACTGCTGTCAGGGTCCTTTTGAGATTACATCAAAGGCACCTAATCTGATTGGCACCTAATCTGATTGGCACCTAATCTGATTGGCACCTAATCTGATTGGCACCTAATCTGATTGGCACCTAATCTGATTGGCACCTAATCTGATTGGCACCTAATCTGATTGGCACCTAATCTGATTGGCACCTAATCTGATTGGCACCTAATCTGATTGGCACCTAATCTGATTGGCACCTAATCTGATTGGCACCTAATCTGATTGGCACCTAATCTGATTGGCACCTAATCTGATTGGCACCTAATCTGATTGGCACCTAATCTGATTGGCACCTAATCTGATTGGCACCTAATCTGATTGGCACCTAATCTGATTGGCACCTAATCTGATTGGCACCTAATCTGATTGGCACCTAATCTGATTGGCACCTAATCTGATTGGCACCTAATCTGATTGGCACCTAATCTGATTGGCACCTAATCTGATTGGCACCTAATCTGATTGGCACCTAATCTGATTGGCACCTAATCTGATTGGCACCTGAACCTCACCTGAACCTCACCTGAACCTCACCTGAGTCTCACCTGAGCTTCGATCATGTTGTGAGAGTAGTAGCCCTTCAAATAGTCATCCACAATCCCTGTCAGGGTCCTGATGAATCATGATGCGTGGGCGGCAGTAGAGCCATGCATGATATGATATGATAGGATAGCAAAGCAACTAGTCGTCAGCATAACAGGGGGGTAAAAGGAATGCTTGACTTTGACTGACACAATAATTGAGGTGCCTCAGAATTTGTCGGCAAAACAGAAAGGGGATAAAGATTATTGCCTTTGAGGCATCACAACTCCAACACTCGCCAACGATTTTTTCTGCCGGTTTTGCTTAGGCCAGGTTGGGTCGGGTCGGGTCCGGACGGCCTTCAATCCTGCCCGACATGACCGGCTAAAAGGGGGCCAGGTCGTTTGGATGGTTCAGGCCAATTCAAGACAGATCAAAGCGGTTGACGAAAGTTGAAGCTTGATATCAAATCATCACAAAACAGGCGCATTCACTCGCTGTCAAATCCGAAGCCTGCTCCAAACTACTTCGAAGCCAGGCAGAACAGAGTTGTGCATATGGCGAGGCATTTACAGGGACTTACTCATACAACATCGTCCACTCCCTCTCACCAGAAGGCGTTTTCTTCTGGCATGAGCAGAAGCAGCAGCCCTCCGAGGAAGTTCATGCCCTGTTATGTGGGAGAAAGGGAGGAGGAAACGTTACCAGGTTATTATGTTACTGGGTCATTATGTTACTGGGTTATTATGTTACTGGGTCATTATGTTACTGGGTCATTATGTTACTGGGTTATTGCTTTACCAGGTTACAATTTCAGAAGCAGCAGCCCTCCGAGGAAGTTCATGCCCTGTGGTGTGTTCATGTGGGGGGGAGGAAGGAGATGTTACCACCACCAAGTTATTGTTTACCCAGAATACCCTACCAGGTTACAAGTGTACTATGTAACTAGCTCACAGGGATACTGATTCAATGAAACTTTAGGATACCAGAAACTAGGTTACAATTCAACCAAGTTGCCATCACTGTGACATGCACACACGGAGCGCACACAGGGCACACCCGCATCCACACCTCAGAACCATCCTCCTTACCCTCAACTACACACCCACTAACACTCCCCACCGAAACGACACCCCAACACCCACTCACACACACACGCACCAGTCAGCACCCCACGTCCTTGTTCTTCCGCGCATACGCCGTCAGCAGGCGGCAACACACCCACACCCACCTTTCAGTACCCCTTCTGACACCTCGCAACCCACACGCACCTGGCAGTACCCCACGTCCTTGTTCTTCCGCACATACGCCGTCAGCAGGCGGCAACACACCCACACCCACCTTTCAGTACCCCTTCTGACACCTCTCGACCCACACGCACCTGGCAGTACCCCACGTCCTTGTTCTTCCGCGCATACGCCGTCAGCAGGCGGCAACACACCCACACCCACCTTTCAGTACCCCTTCTGACACCTCTCAACCCACACGCACCTGGCAGTACCCCACGTCCTTGTTCTTGCGCGCATACGCCGTCAGCAGGCGGCGCAGCGAGTCTCGCCCAATGGAGTCCAGCGCTGGATGGCCGGGGAAGGTGCGCGGAAGGTCCTGGCAGAGGGGGGAGAGAGGATGGTGGAACGGAGGTCGGGAAGGGATCGAAGGGGGGAAATGAAACTGGTTGATGATATCTATCTTGGGGCCATGCAGCAAGTCTCGCCCTAAAGAGTCCAGAGCTGGGTGCCCGGGGAAGGTGCGAGGACGGTCCTGGTGGAGGAATGCAGGTTGGGTCGGGAGGGAGACGGGGGAAAGGATCTCTTGAGGGGGCAAAGCAAGAGACGTGCACGTGCACCCAGTGCAAAAACGTAACCTTTTTCTTTCTTTCGGAAAGCAGCCACCCCATCAATCCCTCCCTACGTTCACCATCTGCTGCTGCACAGCCCATGAGATGAGATGTGCACGTCCCGTCCTTTCTGACAACCCTCCATACTTCAACCTTATACATCCTCCTGGTCCCGGTGCACAGGCCCCGCTCCCGGCACACAGGCCTCCGGTCCCGGTGCACAGGGCGTCCTCCCAGTGTCCCAGTGAGACTCCTCCCCCGAGTGCCCTTCAACTGCAAACCACCCCCAGCTTCCCCATCCGCATGCACCGCACCGCAAGCATACTAACCCTTCCCCTCCCCTCCACCCCCTCCCTCACCTTCTCGATCTGCACGGCCCACGAGTAGCCACGTGATAGAAGTAGTGATTTGAGGCGTCTCAAACAAAACAAATCTGCACGGCCCACGAGCTGGTCACGGCGCCGACGCGAGCGAGTGTAGATGATCATGTCAGCAAGGGAGCTGTTGGGGCACATGTCATCCTCCCCTCCCTCACGTGCCCTCCAACCCGAAACCAGCCCTTGCTTCTCAATCCACGGCCCACCAGTTGAGAATTTCTTGTGCGCGTGCTGGTCGCTCACGTGCGCAACAAGTACACACCCCCCTCTCCCCCAATTTTCCCCCTCCCTCACCTTTTCAATCTGCACGGCCCACGAGTTGTGCACGTCTTTGGCACGAATGCGGGCGTAGATGTCAGCGAGGGTGCTGTTGGGGCACAGGTCGTCCTCCCGGTGTGCCTCCTCCAGCAGTGCATCGTACAGCCCTGCTCGCCTCCTCGCCTTGGTGCCCACAAATATCTGCCACACCTGTAGGCAAAGTCGCATTCACAGATTCGCGGGAGTTCAAGGGGGTTGACAGGGGTTCACAGGGGTTGACAGAGATAATGCCTGCACCCACCTCGCCCATCTAGCCCACTCTCACCCACTCGTCTCTCCTGTCCGGATGCTCGCCTCGCCCTTCAGCCCACCCACTCACCTCACCTCACCTCACCTCTCAGGATCATGGGTACGTACGCCGCCAATCACGAGAGAGTGCAGCTGCCTTGATCATGCCTACCAGGCTGATGCTACACCTGCCTCTCCCATCAACCCCATCCTCCCATCAACCCCATCCTCCCATCAACCCCATCCTCCCATCAACCACATCCTCCCATCAACCCCATCCTCCCATCAACCCCATCCTCCCATCAACCCCATCCTCCCATCAACCCCATCCTCCCATCAACACCATGTGCGAGTGTACATGGCTCCCTCCCCCATGTGCGAGTGTACATGGCTCCCTCCCCCATGAGCGAGTGTACATGGCTCAAGGGACACCCCTCCCTCACCCCTCTTGTCCATGCGCTCACCTCGCGTCGCAGGTGCAGGGGCACACCTTTGAGAATTGGCGCAGGTGCAGTGCAGGGGCACGCCGCCCATCACCAGCGAGTGCAGCTGCCATGAACATGCCTACATGACTGGAGCTGCACCCGCCTCTTGTTGGAAGAGAGAATATGAAATTGCAACACCTCTCGCCTCAAAACCATCCTCCCGTCCGTCCTCTCACTCACCACTCTACTGTCCCGTCCACACTCTCACCTCGCCGCGCAGGTTCATGGGCACGCCGCCCATGACCAGGGAGTGCAGCTCTCGCCCCCACGGCACTCTCCCCAGCATCGGGAACCCCGCTGTGTTTAACGCCTGCCGCATCGCACTCCCCTTCCCTTCGGCCTCTCCCCCACCCCCCTCTGCATCTCTCCCATCCCCCGTCGCATCTCCCACACCCCCTTCCGCCTCTCTCCCATTCCCCTCTGCATCTCCTTGCTGCTTCCCCCCCACCGCTTCATCTCCTTCCTTCTCACCGCCACTCCTCTCCGTGCCTTCCTGCTTTTCCTGCTGGCCCCTCCCCTCCCCCTCCGCAACTTCCCCCTTTCCCTTCTCCTCCCCTCCATCAACCTTCCCCTCTCCCCCTTTCTCTCCCCCGTCGCCCTCTGTTACTCGCACGTCCTTTGCTCCCACCCTCCCTTCCTCTCCTCCCCCTCCCCCACCCCCCTGTGCCTCCCTCGCAGCTCTGAGTGTCTTATTCGCCACGGCTTCAAGAGCGGCAGCCGCCTCTGCTGCTTCTCTCTGTGCGTCCACCCCCGCTCCCTCCACCCCTCCTGCCCCCCCCTGTGCCTCCCTCGCAGCTTTCAGCGTCTTATTAGCCACGGCTTCGAGAGCAGCAGCGGCCTCTGCTGCTTCTCTCTGCGCCTCCACAGCAGCGGCCGTGGCAGCAGGAGACAAAACACTTGCCAGCTTTGATAGCTTTGCAGGTTTGGATGGGCTACTTGGCTCTTTCTGTTGCCCTCCTGCTGCTGCTGCTGCTACTTCTGCTGCTGCTGCTGCTGCTCCATCTGCTTTTGGTTGCGCTGCAGTAGGTCCTTTCTCCTCTTTCTCCCCTTCCAGATCTAATTTGTCTCCTGACTTGTCTCCTGACTTGTCTCCTGACTTGTCTCCTGACTTGCTTCCTGACTTATCTCCTGACTTATCCACAGAGGGGCTTCCGGAGGAGCTATCCTTTGCAAATGAAGCTGTGGTTTTGTTGTTTTTCTCTCTCTCCTTCCCATCCCCTGTTTTTCCTGCTTCTTTTGGTATTTTCTGCTCTTCCTCCTCTTCTTCCTCCTCCTCTTCCTCTTCCTCCTCCTCTTCCTCTTCCTCTTCCTCCTCTTCTTCTTCCTCCTCCTCTTCCTCCTCCTCCTCCTCCTCCTCCTCCTCCTCCTCCTCCTCCTCCTCCTCCTCCTCCTCCTCCTCTTCTTCCTCCTCCTCCACCTCCTCCTCTGTCTCCACCTCCTCGTATTCTTCTTCCTCCTCCTCTTCCTCTTCTTCTTCCTCTTCCTCCTCTTCCTCCTCTTCCTCCTCTTCCTCCTCTTCCTCCTCTTCCTCCTCTTCCTCCTCCTCCTCCTCTTCCTCCTCTTCTTCCTCCTCCTCCTCCTCCTCTTCCTCCTCTGCTTTCGGTTTTGAACCCTTACCCTTAACCTCAACCTTGGTTTCTCCCTCCACTCCACTCGCCACCTTCGCCCCGCCCTCACCATCACCACCACCTTCCACAGATGTCTTCTTTCCCCCACCCTCCTCACCATCTTGCAACTTCTTCTCTTCAGCCGCCTTCAGACCCTCTTTCCCTTCGTCTCCAGCCTTCCCATCTGCTGCTCCTGTACTGGAAACAGCCTTGCCTTCCCCCTCTTTGCCTCCACTCTCTGTCTCCTTCAAAGCATTCTCCTTACCAACATCCTCCTTACAAGAAGCATCCTTATCAGCCACAGCATTGTGGGTTTCTCCTTTTCCTTCTGTAGCACCATTGCCTCCCTCCGCCTCTCCCTTATCTACACCGCTCTGTACCGCAATAGAGACCATACCAGAACTCTGTGCCTCCTCAGACCCTTCCTTTGCTTGATCATCAACCCGTCCCTCATTTCCTGGCCCCCCCCCACCCTCACTCTCCCTATCACTCTCTCTCCCACTCACACTCTCACTTCCACTCACAGTTATGCTCACACTTCCCGCATCTCCTTCCACACCTGCTTTCTCTCCATGACTATCCACAACCGCTACAGCACCACCAGCACCAGAACCAGCAGCATTATCACCCCTACTCAAACCCTCACCGACCGCACTCCCCTCCTTCCCGCCCCCTTCCCCTCCTCTCCTCCTCCACAGCTTTCTCCCTTTAAGCACTTTCTCTATAATCACCAGCTCCTCCCGAAACTGCTCTCTGAACCTCGCATCTCCCCCGGACCCCCTTCTAAGCACAGGGTCTACAGTCAACTCTACACCTGCCAGCCTCACTTCCTGGAAGTTTCCAGGGGTGGTGGGGGCCGAAGCTGGACTGTCTAACGGCCAATCTGCTCCCCCTGCCCTTCCCCCTTCTCCTTCTCCATCTCCCCCTTCTCTTCCTATTCCGTCTCTTCCTCCTCCTACCCCTCCTTCTGCGGCTCCTTCTGACCTTCCTTCTCCCTCTCCTCCTTCTCCTCCTTCTCCCTCCACCCCTTCTCCTTCTCCCCTCCCCGCTTGGGAAGCAGAAACAGACGCATCTCCTGCTGCCTCTGCCTCTGCTGCCTCTGCTGCTGCTGGTGTTCGGGTGGAAGAGGAAGGTTCGTGGAAGGAGAGGTCGCAGTGCTGCAAGAACTTGTCCCATCGGTCTGACCGTTCCTCCTCCTCCACCTGGACGGGGCGTGGTGGGGTGTGGTGTGGGGTGGGGTGAGGTGGGTTGGGTTAGGGCGGGGTGGGGTTGGGTGGGGTGGGGATTGGGCTCGGCGGGGATTAGGGCGGGTTGGCAGTTAAAGGTATGGCCTTCAAAACTGAAACTTGTCCCATCGGTCTGACCGTTCCTCCTCCTGGACGGGGCATGGTGGGGTGGGTGGGGGGTGGTGTGGAGTGGGGTGAGTTGCAGTGGGGTTGGTTGAGGTAGGTAGGGTGAGGTGGGTGGGTGGGATGCATGCATGATTGGGCTGTATGTGGAGTGGTGGTGTTTTCATTTCAGCGTTGGAGCAGGTGGAAACGCACTGCTTCCTGAGTGAGCAGAATCCCATTGAAACGCATTTGGTGAATGCGATGCGAGAGTGCATCGCGTGTAGATGTCCGTGTGCTGCTGGCTCAGGAGCGTGTTCTCCTGGTGGGGCGGGTTAGGCCTCCTCACAACAACGCACAACGCACCTGGAGCGTGAGAGCAGAGCCCCCTCACAACACACCTGGTAGATGAGAGCAGAGCCCCCTCACAACACACCTGGTAGATGAGAGCAGAGCCCCCTCACAACACACCTGGTAGATGAGAGCAGAGCCCCCTCACAACACACCTGGTAGATGAGAGCAGAGCCCCCTCACAACACACCTGGTAGATGAGAGCAGAGCCCCCTCACAACACACCTGGTAGATGAGAGCAGAGCCCCCTCACAACACACCTGGTAGATGAGAGCAGAGCCCCCTCACAACACACCTGGTAGATGAGAGCAGAGCCCCCTCACAACACACCTGGTAGATGAGAGCAGAGCCCCCTCACAACACACCTGGTAGATGAGAGCAGAGCCCCCTCACAACACACCTGGTAGATGAGAGCAGAGCCCCCTCACAACACACCTGGTAGATGAGAGCAGAGCCCCCTCACAACACACCTGGTAGATGAGAGCAGAGCCCCCTCACAACACACCTGGTAGATGAGAGCAGAGCCCCCTCACAACACACCTGGTAGATGAGAGCAGAGCCCCCTCACAACACACCTGGTAGATGAGAGCAGAGCCCCCTCACAACACACCTGGTAGATGAGAGCAGAGCCCCCTCACAACACACCTGGTAGATGAGAGCAGAGCCCCCTCACAACACACCTGGTAGATGAGAGCAGAGCCCCCTCACAACACACCTGGTAGATGAGAGCAGAGCCCCCTCACAACACACCTGGTAGATGAGAGCAGAGCCCCCTCACAACACACCTGGTAGATGAGAGCAGAGCCCCCTCACAACACACCTGGTAGATGAGAGCAGAGCCCCCTCACAACACACCTGGTAGATGAGACACGTACGTCTTGTAGATGCCCGTGTACTGGCTCTGGGGTGTGCTGAGCGGACCGGAGCAAGGCAACTCACCTCATGTGGGGGCGTCAGGGGCACACCTGGTAAATCCGAGCGTACGTCTTGTAGATGTCCGTGTACTGGCTTTGGAGCATGATAAGGCACTACCTACCTACCAACCAAGTGAGTTAAAGCCCATCACAACGCAACGCACCTGGTAAATGCGCGCGTACGTCTTGTAGATATCCGTGTACTGGCTTTCGAGCATGATAAGGCACTACCTACCTACCAACCAAGTGGGTTAAAGCCCATCACAACGCAACGCACCTGGTAAATGCGCGCGTACGTCTTGTAGATATCCGTGTACTGGCTTTGGAGCGTGAAGCCATACATGTCCCTGCAGGTCCGCACAGTGAGACACGTGTGCACACGTGGATGAGTGGACATGGGGACACGCGAACAAGGGGAGGGACACGTGGACAGGTGAACAAGGGGACACGTGGACGAGTGGGAAAGACAGAAGGTGGAAGGCGGAAGGGGCAAGTTGGAAGATGGAGACTCAAAGGACGAAAGGTGAGAGCAGGCGAAGCGCAAGGCTGTCGCGAATGTTAGACAGGACTGCTGACTTGGAATTAGAGGCTTCAGCGCTCGGCACAAGTGCTACTTTGAGTCGGTCTGTAACTCAGCTACCCGGCTAGTCGAGTCGACATGTAACCCGGTTACCAGGCGACGACAGCGCGCACGCCTTACCGTCCAGACCCTACTCGTTTACCCAAACCATTCTGAGACGACTCGAATCCTTTATTGGACAATTTTCAGGCGACTGAAAATCCTGATTGGGGCATTGTTTGGCACCGACCGACTTGACTGGTCCTACGGGACTGTCTTCAGGCATCGCGACGCGCATTCCCTGGAGTCTCGACGTCACGAGAGTGAGGAGACACGACGCGTGCATTACGGTGAGAGACTACGACGCGTGCATTACGGTAAGGGGATTACGACGTGCGCATTACCGCATGGCGTCCGCCTTGGAAGCGCCGTTCGGCGACGATGGTCCATCGGAGCTGGCTTTCGGCACGCTCCGGATTTTCAGCTTCGCGCGCGCAGTGGATGTCGCCATAAATGATCAGGTAAAGATGTGGACAGAGACGCTGTAGTGCTGTAAAAAGACTTTTTCATTTTGTTGAAACTTTGTACGCCGCCCCAGTAGCACAGTGGTAGTGCGTTCGCTTCGTAAGCGAAAGGTCCAGAGTTCAATCCTCTGCTGAGGCATTCTTTTTAATTTATAAATCAATGTAACAATGCCAGTCAGCCAGCAGCCAGCAGCCAGCAGCTAGCCACGTGCGCCCCACCAGCGACACGCGCTCACCAACAGCACGACTCGCCAACCAACCGGGGCACGTGAGATATTTTCTCCAGACCCGGAAACGGTGATTTTCCGTTGCACACGTAGGCTCAATTTTTAATTTATAAATCAATGTAACAATGCCAGTCAGCCAGCAGCCAGCAGCCAGCAGCTAGCCACGTGCGCCCCACCAGCGACACGCGCTCACCAACAGCACGACTCGCCAACCAACCGGGGCACGTGAGATATTTTCTCCAGACCCGGAAACGGTGATTTTCCGTTGCACACGTAGGCTCAATTTGCTACCGTAGTCGGACAATTTGATGATAATTGCTCGAGTGGTCTTGCCAGAGGTTTCCTCTGGCTTTTTTTTTATCCGGCACATTACCCAAAACCGGTTTTTAGCCCTGCTTTTCTCACGTCGTTCGTAACTCTTCCCGCAAAAACGTGGCGTGTGTTTTTCCGCCCGATTTTTTCGGCTGGGTGACGTGCGCGAGAGCGGCCACGTCATCGTTCGAATACACGACAATAATCGACGCGATCATGTTCGGCGAACAGTCGCGCTCATTTTCGGTCCAATGATTGACCAATCCGCGCATAGAGATATGAATCCCCGATCATATACTCAATTGCACGACTGTCCACACGCGCGACCAATTACATGTCAGAACTCATAGCTTACTTGTTTCTGTAGGCTATAGTGGGGTATCCCATAGGGGGTACAACCCAATTAGGGTTTCCTATTTGTACTCACTTCATTCATAGTCATTTCACTCCTCGTTCGTACTTTCTCATGGAATCAGAGCAGGTCCCTTCCAAGGGCCTGTTCCTAGGGCCCACCGAAGCGCGCCCCGAGGCGCGCATTTTTTTTTAGCGACCCTCCGAGTCGCCCCTCCAGTCGTGCTCCCGCTTAGGCCCCTCGTCGGCCCCCGCTTAGGCCCCTCGTCGGCCCCGCTTAGGCCCCTCGTCGGCCCCGCTTAGGCCCCTCGTCGGCCCCTGCTTAGGCCCCTCGTCGGCCCCGCGTACCCCTCGTCGGCCCCGCGTAGGCCCCGCGTACCCCTCGTCGGCCCCGCGTACCCCTCGTCGGCCCCGCGTAGGCCCCGCGTACCCCTCGTCGGCCCCACGTAGGCCCCGCGTAGGCCCCGCGTACCCCTCGTCGGCCCCGCGTAGGCCCCGCGTACACCTCGTCGACCCCGCGTACACCTCGTCGACCCCGCGTACACCTCGTCGACCCCGCGTACACCTCGTCGATCCCGCGTAGGCCCCGCGTACACCTCGTCGACCCCGCGTAGGCCCCGCGTACACCTTGTCGACCCCGCGTACACCTCGTCGACCCCGCGTACACCTCGTCGACCCCGCGTAGGCCCCGCGTACACCTCGTCGACCCCGCGTAGGCCCCGCCCAGGCCCCGTCTCAGCCCCGTGTCGGGGCCGCGTAGGCTCCGTCGGCCCCGCTTAGGCCCCTATTCGGCCCCGCGCCGGCCCCACCTACGCCCTGTCGGCCCCGCGCTGGCCCCGCTTAGGCCCGCCACCGGCCCTTGCTACAGCCGCCACCGGCCCCTGCTACAGCCCGCCGCCGGCCCTGCTACAGCCCGCCGCCGGCCCTGCTACAGCCCGCCGCCGGCCCTGCTACAGCCCGCCACCGGCCCTGCTGCAGCCCGCCGTGCTGCACGTGAGCAGCCCCAGCAGCCCGCGCCGCCCGTGAGCCCCTACGCCACCCGAGCCGCGCGAGCCGCCCGAGCCGCCCGAGCCGCCCGAGCCGCCCGAGCCGCCTCAGCCACGCGAGCCACCTGAGGAGCCGTGCTGCTGTCCCTGAGCTGTGTTCCTCTGCTGCTGACCTACCCGACTCCTCCAGCCCGGTGAGACTTTCAGCTGCTGCCATGGCCACCCCCAATGTTCTTACTTTTGACGCTGAGGGGAGGGCCATTGACTTTGCCGTCTGGATTGAAGACATACAGCTGTACTTACTGTGTGATGCGATAGATGAGGTCTCTCTCTTTGACTTTGTCTCTGGAGCTGTCCCTGCCCCGCCTGCTGATGCTGACTCTGCCGTTCGCTCCAAGTGGGCGACCCGCGATGCTGCTGCACGTCTTGCTGTGCGTCGCCACCTCCCTTCCTCTGAGCGTGCCCACTTTAGTCAGTGCAAGACCGCTCAGGCCTTGTACGACGCTGTAGTTGCACGCTACTCCTCCCCTTCCTCCGCTACCCTTAGCCGCCTCATGCTACCGTTTCTCTTCCCTGACCTCGCTTCCTTTCCCACTGTCGCTGACCTCGTTACCCACCTCCGTGCTAGTGACGCTCGCTACCGCGCTGCCCTTCCTGCTGAGTTCCGCGCCGCAAACCCTCCTCCCATGTATATCACTCTCTACTTTCTCGTCACCCGTCTTCCCGAGTCCCTTCGTGTCGTTAGGGACCAGTTTCTCTCTGTCTGTCCCACCACCCTCACTGTCGACCTCCTTGAGGAGTCCCTGCTAGCGGCTGAGAAGAGTATAGTCGCTGTAGGGGCCTCTAGGGGTGACCCTCGCACCCCCATCTTTGAGGGGTGTTCTCCTTCCCCCCTGCTGCCCTCTGTCGCCTCTGCTGCTACGGCCGACCTCGCTGGTTTTGAGTCGGTCGGTGCGGCGTCTGCCCCCAGCGGCAGACGCCGCTCTGGCAAGGGCAAGGGGGGCAAGGGAGCGGGTGGATCTCGAGGAGGCAGTGGCGGAGGAGGTGGGGGTGGCGGGGGGAGTGGGGGTGGCGGTGGAGGTGGTGGCGGGAGTGGAGGTACTAGTGGCGGCGGTGGAGGCGGAGGTGGCGGCGGAGGTGGTAGCGGAGGAGGCGGTGGGAGAGGTGGGAGCGACGGTCCTGGTGGGGGAGGTGGCGGTGGAGACGGGGGTGGCGGTGGAGGCGGGGGTGGTGATCGAGGCGGGGGTCGGAGTGGCTCGTCCCAGCGGAGCAGCTCTGGGGGTGGTCAGCGCCAGCAGCAGCAGCAGCAGCAGCAGCAGCAGCCGCAGCAGCAGCAGCGTTCTCGCACCGTCCCCGGCCCTCAGCAGCTCCGTGAGTGGTACTTGCAGCGTCAGCGCGGTGGTGCTCTTGGTCCCTGCCCCTACGTTCTTCGCACCGGTGACCGTGCGGGGGAGAGGTGTGGAGGCGCCCACACAGCCCGTCGCTGCTTTGGCCGCCTGACCGACGCCTGGCGTCAGCAGTTTCCGGAGGCCGCTGAGATCCCCCGCTGGGGAGAGCTGTCTAGGGCTGGAGTAGCTATTTATGATCTTGACTTTGATGCTATTCTCTCTGCTATGTATGCTGTGACTGGTAGTGATGAGGATGACTGTTACCGGTGTTTCCCGCCCGACCCGGGCATTGGTACTGCCGCGTCAGGTACTAGTGAGGCTGCTGCTCTAGGTGCCAGTGCGTCTGTGCTCTCAGGTGCTGGTGAGTCTGCCCTCTCAGGTACTGTGTCGGCTTCGGCCTCTCACACCTTCACCCTTGACTCTGGAGCGTCTCGCTCCTTCTTTAGGGACCGCACCACTCTCACGCCGCTGAGTCGGCCGGTTGCAGTGTCCCTGGCTGACCCCTCTGGGGGGCCGGTCCTGGCTCGCTTCTCCACTGTCCTCCCGTGTCCAGCGGCCCCCTCTGGCACCCTGATTGGTCTCTACCTCCCCTCGTTCTCGACGAACTTGGTGAGTGGTGCTGACCTCCAGGATGCGGGTGTCCACCAGTTCACCCCTGCTCGTCAGCGGGTGACCCACTGCACGGAGGAGGATACAGGTCGCCACCTGGCTACGTTTACACGTCGGCCAGGGTCGAGCCTGTACACACTGACCACTGCTTCTCCTCCAGGTGCTGAGTCTGGTAGGGTCCCTTCGTCTGGTCAGGTGTTTGCTGCAGCGTCCAGGTCTGGTCCTGAGTCTGCCCCCTGCTCGTGTCGTCGTCTGTCTCACGAGACCCTCCTCTGGCACCACCGCCTTGGCCACCCCTCTCTGCTTCGGCTCAGAGGCATGGCCTCGCGAGTCCTTGTGTCTGGTCTTCCCCGGTCTCTCCCTCCCCTTCCTCCGGGCCCTGGCCCCACCTGTGTCCCCTGTGTCGAGGGGCGCCAGCGTGCTGCCCCTCACTCCTCCCAGTTTCCTCCCACAGAGGCCCCGTTGCAGACGCTTCACATGGACGTGTGGGGCCCAGCCCGCGTCCGTGGACAGGGTCAGGAGCGCTACTTCCTGCTGGTGGTTGACGACTACTCGCGTTACACCACTGTCTTCCCCTTGCGCAGCAAGGGTGAAGTCACTGAGGTGCTGATCGACTGGATCCGCGCAGCTCGTCTCCGGCTTCGGAGGAGCTTTGGCTCTGACTTCCCTGTTTTGCGTCTGCACTCGGACAGAGGTGGAGAGTTCTCCTTCGGCCTCCTGAGTGCCTACTGTCGTGTGCGAGGCATCCGTCAGACCTTCACGCTTCCGGACTCACCGCAGCAAAATGGGATTGCTGAGCGCCGCATTGGCATGGTCATGGACGTCGCTCGTACGTCCATGATGCATGCGGCTGCTCCCCATTTTCTGTGGCCGTTTGCGGTCAGGTACGCTGCGCACCAGATCAACCTCCACCCCAGGGTCTCTCGACCGGAGACCTCCCCAGCCCTGCTGTGGACGGGGAAGGTTGGCGATGCGTCGGCGTTCCGGGTCTGGGGATCTCGGGCGTTTGTTATCGACCTGTCTGCCGACAAGCTGTCCCCTCGTGCTTCTCCCTGCGTCTTCCTGGGGTTCCCCCCCGACGCCCCTGGGTGGCAGTTTTACCACCCCACCTCTCGACGTGTTCTGTCCTCCCAGGACATCACGTTCGACGAGTCGGTGCCCTACTACCGCCTCTTCCCCTACCGCACTCCGTCCCTCCCCCCACCCCCGCTCTTCTTGGTACCAGGTCCCCCCCCGGTAGTCCCCCTCCCCCCTCAGGGTCCTGCCCCTTAAGATGTGTCCCAGGTAGACGCGGTCGAGCCTGTCGAGGTCACTGGTGACACTGGTACTGCTGCGGGAGCTGAGCCTAGGGGTGCGAAGTCTGGGGGTGCTGAGCCTGGAGGTGCCGAGTCTGGGGGTGCTGAGCCTGGGGGTGCTGAGCCTGGGGGTACTGTGCCTGGGGGTGCTAGGCCTGGGGGTGCTGGGCCTTGGGGTGCTGAGCCTTGGGGTGCTGAGCCTGGGGGTGCCGTGCCTGGAGGTGCTGTGTCTAGGGGTGCTGAGCCCGAGGGTGCTGTGCCTGGGGGTGCTTCGTCTCGCCGGGGGCCACTCTCCCCACAGGAGCTGCGTGAGTGGTTTGCCGGGCGCTGGAGGCGTGCTGCTGGTGCTGGTGGTTCTTCGGCTGCAGAGGGCACTGCTGCTGCGCGCCCCGCCGGTGCTCGTACTGTGGGTGCTGGAGCTGCTGAGTCTGAGAGTTCTCCTGGAGCTGGTCCTGCTGAGGGTATTGGCGCTGAGCCTGCCGTTGGCGGCCCGACTGACAGTGCTCCTGGTGCTGCGGCTGGAGGTTCTGGAGCTTCTGGTGGTGCTGCTGGAGGTGCTGCTAGAGTGGGTGCTCCTGCCGGGGCTGCTGGTGCTGTTCCTGCTGTTTCTAGCGTCGCCACGCGGCCCCGACCATACTTCGTTCCGCTCCTGCAGCAGGTTCTTGGTCTTACACCTCCTCCTCCTCCCTTAGAGGGTCTGCAGCCTGTCCGGTCCCAGCCACAGCTACAGCCTGCCTCCCCTTTGCCTGCTCCTTCTCCCTACGCTGGTCCGACTGGTGGTCTTACTGAGCGTCGTGAGCCTGCGTCTCGTCCTGTGTCGCCTGTTCGTACTGAGCGCGCTAGTGGTCGCGGGTCGCGTCAGCGTCCTCCTCCTGTCCCTGGCACGCACCGGATGTCACTGCGTCCGTCCACTGCTCCTCTGCGTGCCCCTTTGCCTTCTCCTCCTGCTTCCTCTCTTCCTGCTCTTGCCGACCCGGAGTCGGACGCTCTCCGTGCTGCCAGTCCTACTGTCACGCGTCTCCTGGCTACTGCTGTCACTGACCCTTCCTTCGAGTCGTCTGCTGCGTCTGCCCTTGTCACTGAGCTTGTCGACTTTGCTGCGCGCTGTCGTCTAGACTACGCTGCTGCCCTTGTCACTGAGTCTGAGTCCGCCTGTCCTCCGTCCGTCGGGGGTGAGTGTGCCCTTGGCACGGACGTCCTTGAGGACAGGCAGGAGGAGTTCCAGTGTCTGGCCGCCGCTTCACCTCGTCTCGCGTCTGTACTGCTAGCCCCTGAGGGAGACCCGGATGCACCAGACATCCCGACTCCGCGCTCTTACGCGGAGGCGATAGAGGGTCCCTACTCCTCTCAGTGGCAGGCAGCTATGGATGCAGAGATGGCTTCCTGGAAGTCCACAGGCACCTACGTTGACGCTGTTCCCCCTCCTGGGGCAAACATCGTCAGTGGCATGTGGATTTTCAGGGTGAAGCGGCCGCCGGGTTCTCCGCCTGTCTTCAAGGCGCGTTACGTGGCTCGTGGCTTCAGTCAGCGGCAGGGGGTTGACTACTTTCAGACCTTCTCCCCCACCCCGAAGATGACCACTCTTCGGGTTCTGCTACACGTTGCTGCTCACCGTGACTACGAGCTGCACTCTCTCGACTTCAGCACAGCTTTCTTGCAGGGCAGCCTGCACGAGGAGATCTGGCTGCGTCGCCCACCTGGCTTCACTGGGTCTTTCCCTCCTGGTACCCAGTGGAGTCTCCGGCGTCCAGTCTACGGTCTCCGCCAGGCGCCACGTGAGTGGCACGACACACTGAGGACTACGCTCGCGGCACTTGGGTTTGCTCCTTCCACTGCCGACCCGTCGCTGTTTCTGCGCACCGACACCTCTCTGCCGCCGTTCTACATCCTCGTGTACGTCGACGACTTGGTCTTTGCCACAGCTGACACTGCTGGACTCGCCTACGTGAAGTCCGAGCTGCAGAAGAGACACACGTGCACTGACCTGGGTGAACTGCGCAGCTACCTTGGCTTGCAGATCACCCGGGACAGAGCACGCCGCACCATTACCCTGACTCAGTCACACATGGTGCAGCAGGTCCTTCAGCGCTTCGGCTTCACGTACTCCTCGCCTCAGGCCACTCCTCTGCCTACTCGCCACTCGCTCTCAGCTCTGCCTTCGGATGAGTCCGTAGAGTCGAGTGGTCCGTATGCAGAGCTTGTTGGCTGCCTCATGTACCTGATGACCTGCACACGACCTGACCTCGCATACCCTCTTAGCATTCTCGCACGCTTTGTTGCTCCTGGGAGACACCGACCAGAGCACATGGCTGCAGCGAAGAGGGTGTTGCGCTACTTGTGCAGTACGTCGGGCATGGGGCTAGTGCTTGGAGGGCGCAGTCCAGTGGTCCTCACTGGGCACGCAGACGCTTCTTGGGCTGACGACCAGGCTACGCAGCGGTCGTCACAGGGTTACACCTTCAGCCTTGGTTCCGGCTCTGTCTCGTGGCGGGCTACCCGCTCGTCTTCTGTTCTCGGCTCCAGTTGTGAGACTGAGATCTACGCTGGGGCTATGGCTGCACAGGAGTTACGCTGGCTCACCTACCTGCTGACCGACCTTGGAGAGCAGCCTCGTTCTCCTCCAGTCCTGTACGTAGACAACAAGGCCATGCTGGCCTTGTGTCGAGAGCAGCGACTGGAGCACAGAACGAAGCACATTGCTCTTCGCTACTTTCTTGCTCGTGAGCTTCAGCAGCGTGGACAGCTGCGACTTGCGTACGTGGCCTCTGAGGCCAACACTGCTGATGTCTTCACCAAGGCACTTGCGCCTTGTGATCATCAGCGTTGCTGCACGCAGTTGGGTCTTGTGCCTGTCTTGCCTCACTTGCTCTCCTCTTGACCTTGCTTGTACTTTCGCATATATATACTCTTGCTCTTGTATATCTCTATATATGATCTTGCATGTGAACTGGCCTTGTGGCCTTTGAACTTGTGCTCGGAATGCGTGGTGACTTTGTGATCCACCCTGAGCTTTGCTTTGCTTTGCTTGACCGGTCTTGTGACCCCTTGTTCTCCCCCACTTTGCCTATGGGGGTGTGTCAGAACTCATAGCTTACTTGTTTCTGTAGGCTATAGTGGGGTATCCCATAGGGGGTACAACCCAATTAGGGTTTCCTATTTGTACTCACTTCATTCATAGTCATTTCACTCCTCGTTCGTACTTTCTCATTACAGAGCGCGTGTGATTGGTCGACTCTATGCGCAAAGTACTTTTTTACCTTGCGCGTCCAATCAGGCGCGGTCATGTAAGATCGCACTCATATAAAACCGCGCATTTACCTATATGAGCGCGCATATGTGGTGCTCGAATGTGTGTGCGATCTGTTTTATTAATAAACAACTATATCAATAGAATCGGGAGACGTTCACTACCGGTGTTTTGCCATTGTATCTTTATAACACTGTGCGGTCCGTTCATTTAGCAATCATAGGGTTTATTGTATCTGTAGGCATGTCGACCTCTACGCATGGCTACAATGATATTACGTAGATTTGATGTGTACTGAGCACGCAATGTCATTGTTGACCATACGTCTCATCAGTTATTGTGCAGAAAGGCATCGATGATGTCGTCCGCCGCCCCTGCACAGGTTTAGCAAACAAGTTCATTAGATTAATGCAGAGTTTAGTGAAACTACAGCATATGAATAAGCACTAATATGACACAACCACACATCTCACCTGTTGCTGGCTCGCTTGCCAGTGCGGAGCCGTGGGACGTTGGGTTGGGATTGTTGGGAGAAGTCGACTGTGAATATGTCAGGCCATGTACCCTGACCTGTCCAGTTTGCCCTGCGGGTCGGACTGGTTGGGTTTGTGGGTCAGATACTGGATGTGCCGTACTGGGTGCAACGGATGGTGGTGTTGGTAGGACATGCGGATGGGGTGCGGTGTTCTGTGAAGCGGCATGGCCTGCAGGGTTGGGAGCAATGGGTAATGAAGGGGTTGGGTGTACGGGGATAGGGGCTTGCACCTGGCTGAATGGATGGTTTGGGATTTGGTTGAAAGCAAACTGCTGGGATGTAAAATGGAGGTTGGGAGGAGGGCGGTTCTGATTGTACGGCTGCCATGCACCAGGGTTAAGGGCTGCACCGGCGTGTCCCGCGAAGGCGGCGGCTGGCGGGTGGTAGTTGCCAAACGTGGCTCCAGGGTGCTGGTGGGAAAAGGGGGGTGGAGCCTGTGTGTGTACTCTTGCTGGCGTTGGGATGGAAGGCTCAGGGAGGCTGCCGAGCACTTCTCGCCAGTTCCTCCACTCTGCCCACCGCTTGGCCTCCACTATCCTTGCAACCCCTTGCGTCGTCAGTCCCTCCAAGCACCGCCTCTCCTCCACGCTCAACTCCACCATCGTTGAGCTGGAGAGGGACGGTCGGCAAATGTGGGCGGCTGCGGCATATGCTTTTGCGGCATCCAAGATCTCCGTATACCGTCCAAGCACTAAAAACTTACTCTTTGCGCTATCTACGCACAGTCGTGCCGCCCACCTACCTTCCCGTTTGGTTACGCCAGTATAGCCAGAGCTAGGAGCTCGACCACGCGCAGTGTTGCGACTCGTTGTCTCTGTCCCTGTGCTGTGGGCGGACACTAAATCCACATCCGCGTTCGAGGCTGTCACACCATGCCCAGCACCCACGGCCTCTCTTGCACCTCTGTTACCATCCGTAGTACCCAACAACCCTTTGGCACCTTCATCACGCAACCCCAGTTCCTCATCGTCCCTCCTCGCACCGTCCGCCATATCACCATCTCCATCTTTTTCAAGCTTACTGTTAATCCCACCTACACCCGCCTCAACGTCAGCCTCAGGACCCTCGCCATGTGCACCTCTCATGCTGTCATGTGTGCCAGCGTTGTTCCCTCCCACTTCCCCATGTCCCTCCCCTACAGCATCCCCTCCCGCATCCCCATGTCCCTGCCCTGTAGCTACCTGTCCCACATCAACATGTCCCTCTCCTGCAACGTCCCCTCCCACATCACCATGTCCCTCCCCTATATCCACACCGCCAATGCCCGGCTGTGGAGTACGGGACAGCATCAGCTCACGTTGTTGCCTCTCGAGCTTGGCAATAGCCACTGCCTGACTCTCATTTCGAACCTCCAGCCTATGCATCCGCTCTGCCATCTCCGCTCTCCACTCCCTATCCTCCACCTCATCGCCAATCACCTCAAACTCAGGTGGTTTCCTAATCTCATTGCCAGGAGGGATCTCATGCCCAGCTGCTATGAGCTCCCCGATCAGCCGTCCTTCTGCCAGGGCGCACACATCCTCCCGTAGAACACGATCGGCTTGAAATTGATCGGGTGAAACACCGTGGTACAGGTTAGCTAAATGGATGCGGATCATTTCTGTAGCTCGCGATTGAATCGATGGTAACTCGATTTCGTGATCGAAACTACTTTGTACGAACGTGTTATTTTAAACTCGCGAAACCACATGAGGCACGAAACTCATGGTTGCGATGTTACGTGCGAGCCCAAATGTCACACTGTCGGACCCCGGCACAGAGTGAACACGCATCTCTTCAGAATTCCATACGAGGGTTGGATTGCCAACCATTTCCGACAGTATCTTCGACCAATGGAAATTCACCCAGTAATTGATCGTGCAATTAGACGTGCCATTCAACCTGTGCAATGCGCGTTCCTGTATGACCGGTCTTATGCACGTCTTATATGGCCGGTCATAAAGCGCCATACGCTATTTAAAAAGGCGCGTCAGCGCGCCTTAAAAGGCCTGATAACGATACATAATTCTGTATGTACAATACATGTAACCCCAAAAATTTGCAGTTGATCTAGCACAATGACAATGTTCTAGAAGCATACAACCCTAGTTTCCAAATGCGCAACATCCACGCAATGTGTGTGAATATTACAAAACAATGAGTGGTTGAACTAACAAGGAGATGGGTGTCAGTAGAGCTACACTGTGAGATCCCCGATCGATCCTAAGGGGGGTTACAGGCGCGTTTGCCTGGGGGGTTATGGGCGCACTGACCCGCTACTGAAACAAGCCCTTTTATCCCAATGGTCTAGTGGTTGGGATTCTGACATGGTATCAGAGCGGTCTCGGGTTCGAATCCCGGTGTATGCACATGTTGGCCGTTGCCACTGTGCTCAGTCCTGGGCCTCCCAGTGTGGGGGGGTGTCAGTAGAGCTACACTGTGAGATCCCCGATCGATCCTAAGGGGGGTTACAGGCGCGTTTGCCTGGGGGGTTATGGGCGCACTGACCCGCTACTGAAACAAGCCCTTTTATCCGAATGGTCTAGTGGTTGGGATTCTGACAATGGGTACATGTATGAAACTCCAAGTCGAACATTAGGTCGACAGAATGCTCCGAAGACCTCCTGGTCGAGCTGTAGGTCCTGGTCGACGCCCCACCCGTCGCCCAGACCAGTCAGTTGCAGCTGTCGAGCTCCCTGGTCGATAGCAACACCACAGCGGTCCCCTGCAGCTCGACGAATCCTGTCGAGCAGCTCTCCACTGTGAACGGTCGGTTGCTACTCCCGTACATCCGACCAAGTCGCCGGCGTTGCCCAAGCGAGGGCAGGGCCAACACTCCATTCCTGGTAACATGGATATGGCCAAAAAAAGAAGTCTCGATACGTGAACGGTATCGTCGTATGATATATTTTTACATGAGGGTTGTTATATGGGGTATAGCAGTATGGGTTAGGTTTACGCACCCCAACCAACCTTAATCGAACCACCATTCCGTTCTTGAGAGTATAGTGGCTAAGGGATGTAATATTACCCATGAGTGTGTTGCATGGGCTGTACCGGGTGGTAGTATGTTTAGCGTTGTTGTGTATTGATGTGATGGACACGAGATTAAGGACTATCAGGTCCTTCTAACATTTCGCTACTTACACTCCACTCAAAATATGTTTCATCCATGTATACAATATGTCTATTCCGGTGCACATATATGCAATTTCCTAATTGTCGTGAACCCTAATTTCGCGATACAAAATCACATGATGGAAAGTAGACCTCAAAACGCATCCGTCCTTGGCACGTAACGTCAGGCTCGCGTGGTAACATTGTGTCAAACATTATATATGTTATGCTTGTGTAGGCTACAGTGGGTTAGCCAATAGGGGGTACACAATTCTAGGGTTTCCTACTTGTACTCATTTCACTGCTAGTTCATTCATTCCTGTTCGCTTATTCTCACATGGTATAGAGCGGGTCCTTCTACGGACCGTTTTTTTTTGGGCCCACCGAAGCGCCCCCCGAGGCGCGATCCTTTTTTTTTAGCGACCCCTCGGGTCGCCATTTCCCCTGCGGCCCCGCCGCCTTCACTGACGCGGCCCCGCCGCCCTCTCTGTCGCGGCCCCGCCGCCTGCTCTCGCGCGGCCCCGCCCCGGCTTCTACGCGGCCCCGCCCCGGCTTTCACGCGGCCCCGCCGACGGCTTTGTCGCGGCCCCGCCCAGGCCCTTACGCGGCTCCGCCGCCTGCTCTCACGCGGCCCCGCCCCGGCTCCTTCGCGGCCCCGCCGCCTGCTCTCGCGCGGCCCCGCCCCGGCTTCTACGCGGCCCCGCCCCGGCTTTCACGCGGCCCCGCCGACGGCTTTGTCGCGGCCCCGCCCAGGCCCTTACGCGGCTCCGCCGCCTGCTCTCACGCGGCCCCGCCCCGGCTCCTTCGCGGCCCCGCCGCCTGCTCTCGCGCGGCCCCGCCCCGGCTTCTACGCGGCCCCGCCCCGGCTTTCACGCGGCCCCGCCGACGGCTCTGTCGCGGCCCCGCCCAGGCCCTTACGCGGCCCCGCCGCCTGCCCCCGTCGCGGCCCGGTCACCTCCTGACGGCCCCGCCGTCCCTTCGTGACGGCCCCGCCGTCCCTTCCTGACGGCCCCGCCGTCCCCTCCTGACGGCTCCTGCCGTCCCCTTCTACCGGCCCCGCAACTGCACCTGCTGGCCCCGCCGCTGCACCTACCGGCCCCCCACCACCCACCCCCCCTTTTCCCGTCGCCTGTCGAGGCGAACTGAGAGGCCAGCAGAGGGGTGGCAGGTGTGTGGCCTCCCCTGCTTCTCCTCCTCCTTCATCTCCCACTGCAGCAGCCGAGCCGCCCCACAGCCGAGCCGCCCTGCCGCCGAGCCGCCGGGTCGCTGAGCTGCTGAGCTGCAGTTGCTGCCGAGCCGCCCTGCCGCCGAGCCGCCGAGTCACCGAGCTACTGAGCTGCAGTTGCTGCTGAGTCGCCTTGCCGCCGAGCCGCCCGAGTCGCCCGAGCCGCCGAGCCGCCGAGCTGCCGAGCCGCTGAGTCGCCGAACCTACTCTTCCCACCCCTGGTGAGCTCTTGCCCTGCTAGCACGCTGCGCGTCGCCTGCTTGCCTGCCTGCCTCCCTGCTGCTAGTCCTGCTCCTGCTTCTACTTGCGGAGCCAAATGCAGCCCCAGCGACGCCGGCGTGAGTCCCTCACGCCGCAGCAGCTGCGTGAGTGGTACGCTGGTTGGGGCTGTAGGGGTGGCGACGCTACTCCTACTACCACTCCTGCTGCTTCTACTCGTGGTGGCGGCCAGATGCAGCTCCCGCGACCCTCTCGCGTGTCTCTCACGCCTCGCCAGCTTCGTGAGTGGTACGCTCAGAGTGGAGGGTCTCTCAGTGCTGTTCGCTGCTCTTACGTGATTCGCACTGGTACTCGGACTGGTCAGCCTTGTGGGACACGTAGTCATACACCGTCCCGCTGCTTCGCCCGTCTGAGCGACGCCTGGCGTACCGTGTTTGGCGACGAGGCTGAGCTTCCCGACTGGGTGGAGTTGCTTAGGCAGAGGGTAGATATATATGCTCTTGACTATGATGCTATTCTCACTGCCATGTATGCATTGCCTACTAGTGCTGACCGTGCACGTCACCTGTGCGTCCCGCCTGACCCAGGTATAGGACCTGCTACTCTAGCTACTGGTGAGGCTGCTGCTCTGGGTGCTAGTGAGTCTCCTGCTCCAGGTACAGGTGCGGCTGCTGCTCTAGGTGCTAGTGAGTCTGCTTCCTCAGGTGCGGGTGAGGCTGCGCTCTCAGGTACCGCGTTGGCTTCGGCCTCCCTCACCTTTACACTTGACTCTGGGGCTTCTCGCTCCTTCTTTCGGGACCGCACCACACTCACGCCGCTTGGTCGGCCGGTTGCAGTCTCCCTGGCTGACCCCTCTGGGGGTCCTGTCCTCGCTCACTTCTCCACTGTCCTCCCGTGTCCGGCTGCCCCCTCGGGCACCCTGTCTGGCCTGTACCTCCCCTCGTTCTCGACGAACTTGGTGAGTGGTGCAGACCTACAGGATGCGGGGGTTCACCAGTTCACTCCTGCGAGTCAGCGGGTGACCCACTGCACGGACGCACGCACAGGCCGGCACCTGGCCACGTTCTCGCGTCGGCCGGGGTCGAGCCTCTACACCCTGACCACTGAGTCTCCTCCGGTCCCCGCGTCCGGTCAGGTAGCAGCGTCGGGTCAGGTGTTTGCTGCTGCGTCCAGGTCTGGTCCTGAGTCTGCCCCCTGTTCTTGTCGCCTCCTGTCTCACGAGACTCTCCTGTGGCACCACCGTCTTGGCCACCCCTCCTTGCCCCGTCTTCGGAGCATGGCTTCCCGTGTCCTTGTCTCTGGTCTTCCCCAGTCTCTCCCTCCTCTCCCCTCCGGGCCAGGACCTTCCTGTGTCCCCTGTGTCGAGGGTCGCCTCCGGGCTACTCCTCACTCCTCCCACTTCCCCCCGACAGAGGCTCCCCTGCAGACGCTTCACATGGATGTGTGGGGCCCAGCCCCCGTCCGTGGGCAGGATTACGAGCGCTACTTCCTGTTGGTGGTTGACGACTACTCGCGTTACACCACTGTCCTCCCCTTGCGCAGCAAGGGTGAGGTCACTGAGGTGCTGATCGACTGGATCCGCGAGGCTCGTCTCCGGCTCAGGAAGAGCTTCGGCTCGGACTTTCCTGTTCTGCGTCTGCACTCGGACAGAGGCGGAGAGTTCTCCTCTGGCCTTCTGCGTGCCTACTGTCGTGCGCGAGGCATCCGCCAGTCCTTCACGCTTCCGGACTCACCACAGCAAAATGGGATTGCTGAGCGCCGCATTGGCATGGTCATGGATGTCGCTCGTACGTCCATGATGCATGCGGCTGCCCCCCATTTTCTGTGGCCGTTTGCGGTGAGGTACGCGGCGCATCAGCTCAACCTTCACCCCCGGGTCACTCGGCCTGCGATGTCCCCAGCCTTGCTGTGGACAGGGAAGGTTGGCGATGCGTCTGTGTTCCATGTCTGGGGATCTCGGGCGTTTGTCCGCGACTTGTCTGCGGACAAGCTGTCCCCTCGTGCTGCTCCCTGTGTCTTCCTTGGCTTCCCCACTGACGCCCCAGGGTGGCAGTTTTA